TACGGAAAGTTCACCTAGGGTAGTTGGAAAACCCTGATTCCAAACCAATGGTGCACATGAGCTCCAGTATCCCGAAAGAACAAATGGCATATGAACTTATTATTGGTGACTGGCTACCATGGGACTGCATCTCGTTACGATGCTCCACTGCCTTGTGGACTAGACCTTTAGATCAAAGGCTCCGTGTGTGACCCCTAATTAAAATCACCTACTTCAGTTTAGGCATCTGGGCAGTATCACAGCCCTCACACAATTCAAATGAGATTTGTGTGGCGAATATATATCTGGTGCCTCTTTGTATCAATATTTATGTGTTTAAATAAATAAATTCTATATTCACTTGGTATTATTTGTTTGAATCTTCCCATTTATGTTTAGGACTGCAACTGGTCAGTCTCTAATTGGCATATGTGCACACAGTGCGTATTGCCTTGATATAGCCTTTGATCACAAGCATGGTAAGCAAAGATGGATAGTGACTGGCAGTAGAATCCAGGACGCGCGTTTTGTCCTATTTGGGACTCGTCAGCTGGATGTATCTGCTAGGTGAATTTAAACTTCACCCCACTGCACAAGCAGGTGGCTATCAGGACTCAGTAGCTGAGTGGATAGCGTTTGAAGCGAAAGGTATTGGGTTCGAGTCCCAGTTTATTTATTTAAACACATAAATATTGATACAAAGAGGCACCAGATATATATTCGCCACACAAATCTCATTTGAATTGTGTGAGGGCTGTGATACTGCCCAGATGCCTAAACTGAAGTAGGTGATTTTAATTAGGGGTCACACACGGAGCCTTTGATCTAAAGGTCTAGTCCACAAGGCAGTGGAGCATCGTAACGAGATGCAGTCCCATGGTAGCCAGTCACCAATAATAAGTTCATATGCCATTTGTTCTTTCGGGATACTGGAGCCCATGTTCACCATTGGTTTGGAATCAGGGTTTTCCAACTACCCTAGGTGAACTTTCAGTGTCCACCAACCCTGTTAAATCGCCGGAAATCATTGCTTCATATCATACTTCAGTAAACTGGTTGGTTCACAACCATACAAGTTATCAATATTTCATGAATTTCTTAAAAGATTGCTCGAAATTTCATTGAAAATTTGATTTAACTCAGTTCGCAAAAGACGTTAAGAAATTGAATTATGTTCCACAGAAAATATCGCGTTAGCAGTAAGATGACATTATCTCATTTATTTTTGTACACATACTCAACCATGTTCACCAAGATTTTGATTTGACAGATTGTCAGTTATATTCATATGTGTAATGGCACGAGGAAGATTAGCAGGTGACAACAGTGCACCAGTTCAAATCTCCAAGGTAACATTAATATTCTCGAACCTCCAAATAAATCCTTTTTTTATGAATATCAAGGACCTGTCAGAAGTGGAGTGTTTTTTATAACTAATCAACATTTGAACTTATCTTTGCATTGAAACACTTTTTAAGAATTCTTATTAGCTATTATTGATGGTTCCCACAATAGTCCCACCAACTTGTAAGTGATAGTTAAGCTGTAGAAATTCACAACTTTTACCTCCAGTAATGTTAAACCGCTACTCACGAGTATTGAGACGATCAGTTCCACCGCAATATGATTGTAATGTTATAATATCACGTAACTAAGATATATTCCTACAAGTTGTTTTGTCATGTGTGATAGACTTTATAAACTGTAATGTTTACTTATTTTGCTGTCTTTTTCTTTAGATACGTAATCCTTTGTTCTTAATCGCAAGCACTGGGATAAAGCAGTTACTTCTCGACTTCATAGAATTTAGAAATCCAATCTTGATATGCAGCAAGTGTCGTTTAAATCTATCAGACAGGTTAGACTCATTTGAGCGCAATCAAATCGAGTAACTACCCTCTTTTTTCATTATTCCAAGTTCAATGACTGATTTTAGTATGGGAATTCTGTGGAGATAGTTCAATTTGTAGATGATACCACGACCTTGTCTTAGCTAGACAATCGATACCATGACGCACTAAACAGCTTCTGCAATACACACTCCTGACCCTGATATTAACCGAACCTAGTCTCCTAAAACCTGTGTGCGGTAAAGCACATTGACTGAAATGAGAAGTATGAATCATTGCACAACCGAGTTGGTGATCTAGATGTAATGAACTTGCTGAGTCTCAGGTCTTGGTTTTCATCCATGTAGAGGTCGTGGGTACATATTTTGGAAGAGTCTCTGACTAGGGCAATATAGTTACCCAGTGTTTATTGGTTTTTAATACTTATCTAGGTTTCAGATAAAGTAGGCATAAACGACAAATTTACATCGTTGTTTACTTAAAATCCGATCTAATCACAAAAGAGACATTTATATCGTTCAATCTACATCTTATCATTTTTGGTAAGCACAGCACACAACCTGTTTTCGGATCTAGATTACAACTCACTATGCTTGTGACCGCATTCGTACTTGCCCTGTCGAGTAATGAAGAATGGTGCAGGAATAGAACAAACGTTTTTAGAATTATAGACTGCGAATGAAGGCTGAGCAAGCCGAAAAAACAAGTCATTTTTAGACACATCATAAATGTTTTGTTTATCAAATATTTTATCGGTTAATGAATTGATTACTAGAGAGGAAAATAGTACCTCAGCAGATAACAGATGAACTATCCCATTATACATTAGTCTTACATAAATATTAGTCTGACTGTTTTAACAACACTGGGATCAATGAGACAAAGTAGGTAAATTTGTCAGATATATCAACAAAATCCAAACGTATATGATAATTAGAAACCTTAAGCAGATTGTAACTCCGCCTGTAACTCTCCTGCAGCTACTCCCAATCCCAAGACCCAGTAAAGGAGAGGGGTTGGGGATGGAGTCAGCAACCACATCGCGTAAGAAACAACTTTGCTAAAAAGAAAACACTAACTAGGAAAGACAATTTAAGCTATGCCCAGGGAGCTGAAGAATTTTCATTCAGAAGAATTACGACGCCTCATAGTAAAGGTCAAATTTCTTCGCAAGTCACAAGGCCGATGCCCATTCTAACAACCAGAGTAACAATTAATATAGGTACATGAAATGTCCACACAATATAGATCAGTAGGACTAGTCAAACAATTGCGTGAATGAGAATACAATTTGGTGGTGCTCGGAATTGGTGAAACTCATTTGACACAAGCTGGACTGAAAATATTAGATTCGGGAGGGGTGTTAGTGTGCACTAGCCTTGAAGAAAATGCTCTACACACTCAGGAGAGTTTCACTGATGCTGTCAAAAGAAACACATAAGGGTTGAGAATCTCATGGATCCAGGATCATCAAAATATCCTCCAAAGCAGAGGGGGGAATCATAATGAATGTTATCCAATGTTACGCACTCACCAATGATAACAACGACGATGATAAAGACCAGTTTTACGAGAGGCTGCAATCGATAATAGTGAAGTGTTCAGGAAAGGAGCTGACCATCCTGATGGAAGACCTAAAAACCAAAGTTGGACTGAACGACAGTTTTTATGAACATATCATGGGATTACATAGACTGGGAAGAAAGGAACGAAGACGGTGAGTGATTTGCAAATTTATGTGCATTTAACAAAATGAATAAATGTAGCACTAGATTCCCTCACAAACACATACCCAAAGCTATATGGGTATCATCGAATCACAATACAGAGAACTAGATTGATCATATTTGCGTCACTAAACAATTCAGAAGGTCAACGGAAGACGTGAGAACCAGGAGAGGAGCTGATATGGCTTCAGATCACCACTTGGTTGGTGGTTGCTAAGATGAAACTGAAGCTAAAGAAGCAATGGACAACTGGACAAATAGCATTATAAAGGTTTAATACAGCCTTTCTTCGAGATACTGACAAACTCGACCAATTCAAAATAACTCTTAACAACATGTTCCAAGCTCTATAGGATCTGCTGAAAGAACAGGAAACTACGGTGGAGGACAACCGGAAACGGGATCAAAGAAGCATTAAATTCAATGTGTCAGGAGGTTCTGGGTCGCAAGAGGCATCATCATAAGGAATGGATCTCTATGGGAACCATGGAAAAGATTCAAGAAATGAAGAACGAGAAAACAGCAATTAACAACACTCGAACACGAGCAGAGAAAGTCAAGTCGCAAGCAGAGTACGCAGAAGCAAACAAGGAAGTGAAGAAAAGCATTAAAGTCGACAAGCAGAAATACATGGAAGAACTAGCAACGACGGCGGAAAAAGCTGCAAGAGAAGGGAATATGAAACAACAAAGAAACTAGCACGGAAGTACAATAAACCGGAGACCGGTCGAAGACTAAAAAGGAGATACAATCACTGAGATTCCTGAACAGCAGAACAGGTGGGTAGGACGATGCGATGAACTCTTGAATAAACCAGTCCCAATGAATCCACTGAACATCGAAGCAGCACACACGGACTTTCTTATGGCCGTCACTATACCAACGATCGAAGAAATCAACATACCCATCAGACAAACCGAAAGTGGAAAAGCAGCAGGACCAGATAACACACCAGGTGAACACTAGAGTCAGACAAAGAAGTAACTCCAAACATGCTCCACGATGTATTCTGGAAGATTTGGCAGGAAGAACAAGTGCCGATGGACTGAAAAGAGGGATACCCCATCAAGATACCAAAGAAAGGAGATATGAGCAAATGTGAGAACTAAAAGAGCACCAAACTACTGTCAGTACCAGGAAAAGTTTTCAACAGAGTGTTGTTGAACCGGACAAAAGACTCAGTAGACGTCCAGCTTCGAGATCAATAGGCTGGATTCCGTAAGGATAGCTCGTGCACAGACCAAATCACGATACTACAGATCATCGTGGAACAATCACTTGAGTGGAACTCCTCACTATAAAACAACTTCATTGACTATGAGAGGGCTTTTGACGGTGTGGATAGAAGAACATTATGAAAACTTCTTCGACAATATGGAGTACCTGAGAAGATCGTCAACATCATACAGAATTCCTATGACGGACTACATTGCAAAGTCATGCATGGAGGACAACTGACAGATGCATTCCAAGTGAGGACTAGAGTCGGGCAAGGCTGCCTACTCTCCCTCTTTCTCTTTCTTCTGATGGTCGACTGGATAAAGGCGGCCTGCTTGAATACATGGGCTACCTGTTTCTGCCATCCAAATGTTTCAACAACTTGAGACATGGACATAACCTACACTCTATTTTGGGATCACATAATGCTTGTGCCATTGGAGACTCCTTAATAAACACAGTGTCGAAGGTCAAATATCTTGGTGTCATTTTTTCCTCTGATCTTTCTTGGTCTTCTCATGTTTTACTCTTAAAGAAAAAAGTTTACCGTTTGACATACTATATAAAGAGGCTGCATGCTTTTGGGATTACTCGCCATTTACTCTTAAAATTTGTAAATTCCTGCATATTATCTATTCTATATTGTTCTCGATTATTCTTTCCTAGGCTTTTGAGAAAAGACTTTGCTGTTTTGCGTAGAGTGCTGAAGGCGGTGTGCAAGGTATGTGGTGAATCTTTTGAAGTCATTGTTAATATGCTTGTGGATAGACATCTTAAGTCTTGCAAACTCTTGGCAGGTGTTATCTTATCAGATACTAACCATCCGCTTCATTCATATCTTTCTCCTTGTATATCTTCTGGTAGAACGAGACGTAAATACATTAAACTCCATACACGCAAGCAAGTCTATAAAAGTTCTGTAATAGCTTACTTAGAAAATTTACTTTGTGACAAACAGACTGTTAGAGTTGACCTAGTAAATAACCTGTCTTCTTAAGCATGTTTCAAATTTGATAATTTGTATAAACTCAGTTTTTCTTAAACCTTTTTTCATTCCTTTCCTGTTTTTCTTGGGTTTTTTGTTTTTTTTTTGGTAAAAAACTTGTTGAAATAACTCGTGCTGAGAATTCTATATTGTACCAGATTATAATATTGAATAAAGCCATTAATAATAATAATAATAATAATAATAATAATAATAATAATAATTATTATTATTATTATTATTATTATTATTATTATGAAGACCAAGACATCTGAGGGAAAATATGAAATACAATGGACATCTCAAAATCAATTAGAACATTTGGACTTCGCAGATGACTTGGCTCTTCCATCTCATACAAACGAAGAAACACAGATGAAGAAAACTAGTGTAGCAGCAGCAGCCTCTGCATCAATAGGCCTCAACATAAACAAAGGAAAAAGCAAGATTCCCAAATACAACACGGAGAGCAGTGACTCAATCACACTTGATGGAGAAGCTTTTGAAGATGTGGAGACTTTCACGTATCTGAGTGGCATCCTTGATGAACAAGGAGGGTCCGTTGAAAATTTAAAGGCAAGAATCGGCAAAGTAAGAGCAGCATTTCTACAGCTGAAGAACATATGCAATTCAAAAAAACGCCAACCAATATCAAAATGAGAATCTTAAATACGAACGGCAAGACAGTTCTAGTGTACAGAGTTGGAATTTGGAGAACTACTACAACAACCATCAAACGGTACAAACATTTATGAACAGTTGACCACGTCGCCAATTTGTTATGTCTGAAGCGGTTTCGAATTCACTTAGCGAACAGTGTGGTGTGGTCTACTTATATCCACATAAGTAGTATATGGTGCTGGTCAGACATAGAATGTATTTTGGCAGAAGACCGATGAGCAAAGAACTGAAATGAAGCGCAATCGGTAGGAAATTGCATGAACAATGAAATTAGAGAAGAGACTGTGAAGATTGAGACAATTGCTTGTTAATTTGCAAATTGACTGTTCATTGTATGGTTGTCAGAATTTACTGAGATAGTCTGTAATTTTTGCTTAAATACATTCGATTGTCCCCAACTAGTGTTCTGTTCACTATATTTGGTGTCGCTGCCAACCAGGAGGAGGAAGGGTGTTGTTCTGCGGACGCCGCTGCGGGGTTGAGGTGCTAGTTGGGGCAGTCTGGTGAGGAGAGGTGGCGTCGAGTGGAGTGTTCTGGCGGGGCGGCGTTGGCTGTAGCTTGTGCTGTCGACAGAGAGGAGCAGTGGGACGTGCGGCTGCTGGGCGTACATCGAATGTAGATGGTTCAGCAGGCCGGTGGAGTACGGGTGTTGAAGGTCCCAGATGCCTGGTGGATGCGGTTGTTGGTGTCCCGGCAGGCCGATGGAGAGCTTGGCACAGACTGTAGTGAAAGAAGATAGTGGCATGGCGAGCAGAACCATCGCCCAGTGTTCGCTCGGAACTACAGAGCAAATCATGATCCTTGGATTGAAGCGCGTGTGGTTAAAAGGGTAGGTAAAGTCATGTACGAGGTTGAGGTGGGAGCAGACAGGTGGACTAGGCATCGAAACCAACTACGCAAGTGGTCAGCTCCAGCGTGCCCATCGACCGAAGGAAAGATCCCGCTGGACATCCTGTTGGATACTTTCAATCTGCCGGTAGCCCCAACGCAGGAAGAAGCACAACAAGTCGATTTACGGTCCAGAAGATGGTCACTACGCCAACAGCGACGGGCAGTCAAAATGCAAGTGGCCCCCAAGAATGTTCGTTATTAAAAGGGGAGGTGTTGGGGATGTTAAATCCCCAGAACTCACTTGGCTTATTTTTGTAATTGTATTTTGAAAATTTGAACTTCCTTGTTTTCGCGCCAAGAGCGCTCCTTTCACCTTCGAGTAGTATTTCCCACTTGGAAATATCTTAAACACTATTGGCCCGTTGTATCTTTTAGTGTGTAATTTTGTAATGTTTCCCGAGGACAATTTTATGCGGTATGCATACGTTTGATTTCTTCTTATTGTGATTGCTTGTGCTTCTGGCTGCTTACGGAATATATCTTCCACACTTTCAACTTGGACTTCTCACTATAGTTAGCTGGGTCTGGGACGCATCAGAATAGCTAGCTTATTGGTCTATGGTCACAAGTCTTTGTTCCATTCGCTAAGTGAATTTGAAACCGCTTCAGGCATAACAGTTTGTTGACCAGATACTATCAGTAATAAACTATTGTGGGAGAGAACAAACAAGCTTCCAGACGAAGAGGAAAGTATAAAATGACGCTTCAAGTGATTAGCACATGCATCATGGAAATCATCAAATTGCAACACATGGTAAGCGACAACTTGGACTTTCGAAAGGAAGAGAAAAGGAGGGAGACCAAAAGAACACCATGGTTCAATAATCGGAAGCAGAGATTAAAAGAATGAATAGTAATTGGAAAGGACAACCCAGGACAGAGTTGAATGGAGAATGCTAGTGAGCGGCCTATGCACCTGCACGATTGGTAACAGGTTTAAATAATTACGTACTATTGTAGATCACCTAAAAAAGATCAAATTGATAACGTTGGTTTTGTTAGAAAATAGAATAAAAGTACGAAAAAGTCCACGATAAAACAGAAAAAAATTAAGTTAATCAGGGCTTCTTAACGAAATACCTTTCAACGAAGTAAAACCACATACAAGGTGAATTTGTTTTTTAGCTTTATTCCTGTGCATTTTTGTTTCCCTTTTTATTTGATGCAGCCAAATAGAGATCAGGGCTTATGTTCATAGTTAATTGTGAGTTAAAATAACTACTGAATTGTTTGGGGCATGTTCCCATATATCATTACTTACCTGACTGTAAGGGTGGTCAGATGACGTGGCATATGTTCATGAAATCATCAGTTACTAGTCTAAGGTAGGAAGGTACAGACTTATAAAAAGCTGACTATCAATGATTGATCATCAAGTAACTTATCAATTTATCATTGCACACTCGTGTATATGGGACTTATGTGCGAACTAAGAGTATATAATGCTTCACGGGACTTTCAAATTCACGTCATTCAGTTTTGGGGATGTAATCACTGAGCTCTTCGAATATTGATTGACTTCTACCGATTGATCAACGAGTAGTTAAGTATATTGTTTGCCTAACCCTTAGTATTTATTGAATTCTATTGATCTATCTAGCATGTTCCTGTTGTGAATAAGATCATTAAAAAATGTGTGGGATCTTCGTTATTCACCCATACGAATCAAATTTCACTTTCTTGCTGATAATCCCCTTAAACATTCAAAATATTTCCACAGTTCTTAGCCTACTTACACCTCCCCTGTTATCCTACAAGTTATACTGTAGCATCTAATTTTTTTTTGAAATCTATGCTCCAAATAATAAATAGTCAAGTCAACAAAGAAGGTAATTACACTACCAATACTATATACTATAATAAGAGAATCTCATTCTCATAATAAAACGCATCATCCAGCGAACGTTGTGGAAGAACCATTTCACCATAATTCACATGAATCTGATCACATAAATTTAGCTTCAAAGCTATAACATGTAGTGATACGCGCAATATAAAAATATAAACTAGCTCGAATTGATAGTTGGCTAATATTAATTCTGTTCACTAAAATTCTAACATACTAAAGCTTTTGGCTTACAGTTTCCAAGCTTCTTATAATATACACAACATTAAACATAATAGATGAAATTTAGTATTTAATATTTAGAACCCTTTAAAGCAACGAAGCATAGAAAAAAGTAATGCAGTTTGATGAAATCAATGAGACCAACCTACCATGTTCAATATGTTACGTTGTTTTCAAAAATTATTTAATTATTTATTTAAACATATAAATAATGGTACAAGAGGCACCATATATGTATGCGTCACACAAATCTCATTTGATTTGTGTGAGGGCTGTGATACTGCCCAGATGCCCAAACCGAAACAGATGGTTTTCTTAGGGGAACACATCCGGAGAATTTGACCTTAAGATCTAATCCACAAGGCAGTGGAGCATCGTAAGGAGATGGGTGCAGTTCCATGGTAGCCAGTCACCAACAATAAGTTCATACGCCATTTGTTCTTTCAGGATACTGGAGCCCATGTACACCATTGGTTTGGAATCAGGGTTTTCCAATTCCCCTAGATGGACACTCTACATCCACCAACCCGGTTAAAGTGACGGACATTCGCTTTTTGTCCTCACAATTTCCTAAACAACACCCCCACTATCACCTAACACCTTATTTTGAAGCCTTTTTTATTATAAAATACGGAAACTTCTATTGAGATAAGAGAACAAAAGTGATAAACTCAAAATACACTCTGAGACAAAAGAAAATTACATTTATCACAACAATAAAATTTATGCTTCATTAATAATCACCATGACAATAACACTTTTCATACACACACACATATATATGCGTGTGTGTGTGTGTATGAGTGAAATCATACATGTATAAATAGTGTTATTCAGGTGAAATGATGAATTAAATGAAAACAAAGAAAAGAAAACAATAAGTTGAAGATTATGAAACTTATCTAAATAAAGCAAAAGAGATCAAAACAAAGCATGATAAACGTCAACACACATATATATAGATATATATATATTGAAAAACAATAATAAAAGAGCACATTTTAGATCTCATTAATCATATTTATTAGCAAAGTAATCAATGAATCACAGTATTAATATATATATATATAAACAATGATTAGTACATTTACTGATGATCCTAGAGATAGGCAAATGAATACACACACATGTATGCAAACGAATATATTGATACTTGGAGATATGACGAAAAGTTTCTTAAATAGAGAGTCAGTCAGTCGATCACAACGTAGAACTTTGTACGTACATACATCAGTTCGAGTTACCATACCACATTAATACAGAGATGAATAGAGAACTGACAGAATTGAGTAATCCTCTCTATGACTAACAATATATTAGCGTTTTATGAATGTGAAGTAGTTTGTCCATGGGAAAAAACAGAGAAATATTGGGGAAAAAGGTTGGATAAGCACATGAATATGACTCTAAAAGATATATTATATATATAAGAAAATATACAATTAATGACAAAACAAATGAAAACAGTAAAAGAAGAAAGCGATAAGTGAATATATAAGCACCACCAGGTTTATTTGATAAATCTTCTAGCTCATTTGAAACAATTCACAGCAACAATCAGATTATATTGAATGAATTGATTTTGTAAATTGAATTATATTTGATTCCTTTAATTAAATGTTACGTAACTTTCCGAGTCGACAATTACGATCAATGACTTTTTCTTGAAGAAACATATGTAAACATTTTTCATTTTGAGCTAATGGATGTCCAGCAACCCTTGAAATGAGTGGAGAGATAAAAAGAAAACAAACAAAACTCAGTCAAATATGTCCCAACAATAATAGTGAATCAGTCAGTCAGTTAGTCAACTACAACGTAGGACCAGGCACACATATGCATCGGTCCAAGTTACCATATCTCGTTAGCACAGCAAGATGAACACCGAATTCATAGAAGTAGTTAATTTAGTAGTGTTAATGTATAAAAGAAAGATTGTATATAAGGATATAGTACAGGAAGACAGATATGAAGCAATTTTAAACTTAAGGTTTAAGGGAAGATAAAGAGTGTATACACCTGCGCCATTGTGATCGATTCTGAGCCGTGTCACCTAGAGTCTCCAACCATTGGTTACGATAGTCACGAGGACCCCAACCAGGTAGTCTGCATCTGCCAACATGGGTCAGACTAAAAGTTAATGAATATTGAATGGTAACTTTGGGATCCATTTATGGACCTATATTATGCATATAATTTTTATTGTATATTTGCTAAATAACTAAACTAGTCATATTCATGTTCCCTTATTATAAGCTTTATTTTGACCTATAGACTATTATTATACGATTAACCATACTTGAGTTATCCCTATTTTATTTGTTACTGCCTCCCATATTCACAGCCACATTTGGCTAACTCTTGTACAAATGTTATTTTCTATTTTATTGGTACAATGTGGTCAGTCTGTTTGGTATATAAACTCAGTATGTTTGAAATATAAGGAATCATACCACAGAGGCTGTTCTGGACTTAACTGGTTGGACTAGGAAGAAGCAGGACCGATAAGTGTTCTAGACTGCTCGTATGGTTTTCGTGTGTCACTGTTCCAATCGATAATTTGCTGCTTTCTGATTAGCGGTTTTATTACGTCATACGTTAACAGGGCATCCACTTGGTCACAAGTTATAACATAAGTATATACTATTAGAAAAATGAAACAAATTATACACAACCAACTGGAATCAATATAACCTCAGAAGAAACATACTCATTACTACTGAAAAATGTATTCATGGTTTATACATGTACTTTAGCACATGCGGACACATTACACGTTATTTTATGTATAACAGTGAAAATATGAGATTTCTAGATGAAAATTTATTAGGTTTAGCACGTAAATGATTTAGGGGATTGGGTAAGTCAAGCTAAATTACATCAGTTAGCAACCTGGACAGATGTCTATTCATACCAGGTCCTGTTTACATCTGACTAAATTACAAACCGGAAATGAATGACACAAATGTAAGCGAGTGTACGTTTTTAATTAAAAATTAGCTAAATATTAAATGTTTAGTGTCAAATAAACCAATATAAAAAGTCTCAGTGTAATTAGAAGGATCTAAAACAGTGAGACTAGGTTACCTACCTCAAAAAAGTATAGGAAACTATTCGTTTACTGGACGGAACTTTCAGTCTATTAAGAAGTTATTGGGTGGCATAATATGAAGAGCAGTAACATAGATACACTATTATAAATCTATTTAAATATTCGTTTATATTATTGAAGTCACGAACCGATATAATTTGGACAACTATTGAAAACCTGGAGGCATTGAATAACCGTTTCGTCCTAGTATGTGACTATGCAGCAGTGTTCATCCACGACCACACAGCCAGGAATATCCAGCGCTTTAACCGGGTTGGTGGACACGGAAAGTTCACCTAGGGGAGTTGGAAAACCCTGATTCTAAACCAATGGTGCACATGGGTCCCAGTATCCTGAGGGAACAAATGGCGTATGAATCAATCGTTGGTCACCGGCTACCATGGAACTGCACCCATCTCCTTACGATGCTCCACTGCCTTGCGGGTTAGACCTTTAGTTCAAAGGCTCCGGGTGTGGTACCCTGAGAAAACTACCTGCTTCGGTTTGGGCACCTGGGCAGTGTCACATCCCTCACACAAACCAAATGAGATTTGTGTGGCGCATATATATCTGGTGCCCCGTTGTACCAATATTTATGTGTTTAAATAAATAAATAAAATAAAAACCAGGAATTGAGTCCAGGACACTCGGTCCTACACACGAACACCTAACTTCAATCAATCCATGAGATTGAGTAACCCTCTTCTAATTTCTTTAGTGGGTAACTAACTTGCTCACACCCCACACGGCTGAAATACACTAGTTACTGCTACACACTGGAAATCTGGGAATTTCCTTTTGAAATTAGTCACTGGTGAGCACATGATAATTACCAGTATCGGGTTGTGGAGACTGTTTGATTTTATTGAAATCACAAACAGACGTAGGTTAGAAAACCATTGGAAATCTGAAAGCAATAAATGACTGTTTCATCTAACTATGGGACTTCGTTTATTGTAAAATGTTTCCACAAGTTACCGAAATAAAATCTTTTACGTTATCTTTCTCCTAGGCTCAAATAGGTGAATCAATAAAACCTTTGATGTAAACGCTTTTCAATTCCTTATAAGGTAACAAACACAGGATTAGATTAAGATAAACAGTTAGGAACGTTGAATTAGCTTCCCTATTAAGAAATTAATTCTTAAAACACACACACACACAACTCATTTGTCAAGTTAAAGCCTAATCTGCATATATTCTCCAATATTACTAGTTCCTGAGTACTAAACGTATATACACAAGGTATACAACATCTAACATTTGGTTCTAAAACAATTCGGATTTCATTTAACATGCATTAAATAATCTTTTCTATAATTAGCTTAGTCAATGTCATGAATAAATCATCAAAGTAATCCGATAATTATTTGTCTACCTCGTGACAACCATCATTTCGCAGTATGGATTATAATAATTACTAATTAAAATTGTCATTAAAGAGTTAATGACCCAGCTAATCAATATATACAGATACATAGCTAACACCAGTTCAATAGAATTCCATTTGTAAGAAACACTACTGAAATAACATATATTTTGGGGAAAAAATAATCGGTCGAAAATAAGTGGACATCGTATTTTTTTGCCTGTTTAAACACATAAACATTGGTGCAAAAGGTCACCAAAATATATATGCGCCACAGAAAGTAGTTGTCATTCTATTTGTGCGTGGGCTGGGATACAGCCTAGGTGCCTAAACAGGACCAGGAAACTATTTTAGGGGCTGACACCCGGAGGTCAAATCCAAAGGGAGATGGAGCAACTTTAGGAGGTGCTGTCCCATGGTAGCCAGTGACCAACAATAGGTTCATACGCCATTCGTTACCTCAGGATCTTGGAGTCCATGTACACCATTGGTTTGGAGCCAGGTTTTCCCAACTTCCCTAGAAGGATCTTCTATATCCACTATCCGATTTAAGGGGCGGATATTCACTTTTTATTCTTTCGATTTCATGAACAACACTCCTATCATGAGAAGACATTAAGCAGGACGTCCCTGGGAGTGGCTACATACGCATGAGTATATGAGAGGATTTCGAGAGAGAGAGAGAGAGAGAGAGAGAGAGGAACCTCTCCACCCTCAGCCGTACTAAGGTACCTGGGGAAAAGGAAACAATGGTTATAAAACGAACTAGAGACACAAACTTTAGCTATTAAGTTGTAGAATCAAAATTCAATCAATTTGCACATTTATCAAAGCTTTGACGCGTAGCCTAATGACCAAGCCACATTCACTTGTTCTTCTATGATGTGTACATCGTTCAAATGATAAATATTAATCAGATAACAGGATGTAAACACATTGAGTTGAAATAATAATAAATATATCCAAGAATTACTTCTTTCCTTGTATATACAAGTTAAAACAGGAAAAAAAATACTTGTCAATGTCAAAATAGCGCAGCACAACTAAACTTAATTATTACTTGGCAACTATTATAAGTTTATACACCATAGAAATAAGTTGAAAAGAAAATCGATAGTTTGAAAATCAATTATTTACACTTTAATTAAAAAGCAGTAGTATCAAACATATGAAATCCGAGTGCACAAAAGATATTAACCTGATATCAGTCACAAACCGATTTTTGGAAGAATTTTGTTGTGTAGGACTTAAACAAACTTTCAATCTTACAATATGCAAAGAATCTTTGTGAATCAAAGGTGTGTTTACCATGACACTGAACATATGAATATTCTATTAGTGCAATACTGATTAACATTACAGGTACATCCATCCGTACTCATATACTACGGGAGTGTAGTTTACGAAATTGAGAGAATGAAAAGCAAATGTCCGGTACTTTAACTGAGTTTGTGGATAAGGCGGATACATCTAGGGAGGTTAGAAAATCCTGATTCCGAACCAATGGTGCATATGGACTCCAGGAATCCGAGGAAACCAATGGCGTATAAACCTATTGTTAGTAACTGGCTACTATGGGACAGCATCTCTTAACGTTGCTCCAATGACTTGTGGATTAGATCTCTAGGTAAAAGGCCAGGGGAGTTGCCTCCTAAGAAAACAACCGACTTCTTTTTGGGCGTCCGGGCAGTATTCCAGCCATCACATAAACCGAATGATGATTACAACTGGGAGAAATTATACTCGCTTCAATTCGCGTTCAGACAAATCACATTCACAATCATTTGGTAACATTCGTTTATATTATTTTACACTACATCACTTTTATAGCCCCTTTCATCCTCCTTTTATGTATTCTTTTATTTTTTTTAACTTATACAGCAGTTCACCTATGGTGGAAACCCTGTCCTATCTAAACAATTCCCTGTCACTGACTGATAGGAAGTTGAATGCTACCATTGAATACGAAAAGCGAACTAGCCTTTCCGAAACCACATATACCATTCAAACTGGCTAACTAATGGAGATCGGCCAACCTATAGGGTTGGTTGTCTTTAGAAATTCTCAACAACGATGTCTTTTGTTCATGTGAGACCTGTATTCAAGACTCTAGCGAAGTACTACAAATTCGCTTTCCATCTGTCGCTTCAAAAGGCTTATTTCGCCTGCATTTATCCGGGGACCCTGTGGCATCGTCTGATATTGCTAGCGTTAGTATTGCACTAAGCGCTAAAGTTAAGACAGCACTAGTCGAATGGATCCCCATTACCAGTCGGTTATTTGTTAGATTAGAAAGCTGAATTAGTGAGAAGAAACCATTGTGATAGACGATCTCTATACGTCATCGCCTACGTTCCGACCGATTTCAGACCGGGTACGATCAAGGATGATTCTTGTCATCAGTTAAATTTGCTTTTACAGATGGTGCGTTTGACAGGAGTCTAGGAAAAGGGATCCGTTTCGGTGGCCGATGAAGACCTGTTGGTTGCAGGTCAGATAACGGTAACTGTCTACTGCAACTTTGTGCAGACTGAAGGCTGTTTCTGGCTAGCACTGACTTTTGGCACAGTCATCACTGATGTGCTACCTGGAGTCCTCTCTCTGCATTTAGAATCTGGACTCAAAGTGATCACATCGCATTCGTCTACTACTGGCGTGGCTGTGTACAAGACTGCTGCTCCTTCTGGAGTACTTATCTGGACTCTGACCATGCCCTTGTTTGCGCTAATCTCACCTTACGTTCCAATGCCCAACAACCTCATCGCCCTAAACGGACCAATGTTAACAAACTGGTTGCAGCTTCTTTTGCAACTAAATATCAAACCAAGCTAGGTTCAAGGTTATCAACCTACCGAAAAATAAACATGTGCATGGACTGTAATTGTACGACGTCGTGAAAATGGCGAGTATAGTCGCTTGTGGCTTAGCAAAACGTCCTGCTTATAAGCACTGGGTTTCTACAGGTTTCTTACAACTCATTGAAGCACGTCGGTCTACTCCGGGTGACTATGAGTTTGACGACAAACGAAGATTGTTACGTAGTGAAATTGTGTAAAGTTTGAATAAGGGCTGAGAAGCCTGATGGTCAGAGCGTGTTAATGAGTTGGAAACAGTAACTGCATTTGGTAACTACCGGAACCTCTTCCAGCTCATCCGAGTCACTGGCACCAAGAAGTCTGGTGTGAGTGAAACAATCTGTGAAGGTGACGAAATGTCAACCAATAGAATCTACCAACATTTTGGACGATGAGTAGTTTGATTGGTCTGTTGCTTCGGTAACATCGATCAGACTGTCCTACTCTTCATAGCCTATGACAACTGACCCACCTAACGAGGCGGAGGTCCACAAGGAACTCCAACTCTTGAAGCGCCACAAATCACCAGGCCCAGATGACCTCCGGTCCTTTTTAAAGATGGCAGCGACTTTCTGGTTGACGAACTGACTGAGTTGTTAACAAATGTCTGGTAATTAAAGCGTCCCAGCATCGTAGAATGAGTCGATAGCTGTCCCTTACTCCAAAAAGGGTTCACGTCGCCCATGCAACAGTTATCGACGATTAAAACTTCTTCTGATTGCTTCTATATTATTGGCTTCCGTAATACTTCGTAGATTGTTCAAAACTCAAGAAAGGTAGACGCGTGGAATAGCAGGTTGGTTTTCGTTCTAGTCGAGGATGTATTGATCACATCTTCATATTACATGCCAATAATCGTAATGTATCTTGACGTTAGGGCCCCCCTTGATGTGTTGGACAGGACAGTTTTCTGAGATTTTCTATTCAAGAAGTATGTTGTTGAGGTGTTTATTAACATCTTATAGGCCCTATAAACAAGCATCTCAAGCCGAGCGAGGACATACGAACATCTATCTTTATTGTTTCACCACTCCCCTTCAATTTAGCCATTGATGACGTTCTGGAAACAGCTCTTATGGATGCAAGCAATGGTGGTATAGATCTGTTGCCTGGAGAAAGAATTTTCGATCCTGAGTATGCGGATGATATTGTCTTACTGTGCGATGATACCCAATACAAGGCAATCAGTGTCCGTAGGCATTGGCATGTACTGTGCACCTTATAAGTGCAAAGTACTTTTACAAGGCCGGCACGACTCTGAACGTGCACTCACTCCTGGTAGTGAGCAGATAGAAGTAGTCGAGTTCGTGTATCTGATTAGCTGCATAAGTGCTAGTGGTGGCATGAGTGATGAGATCAATTCACGTATAGTGAAAGCCGGAGCATCTTATGTCAATGCGGACCATCTTTGGCACCGTAGTGATATTGGTCTGGCTGTAAAAGGAGGATCTACAGTGCGTCGGTGAAAGCAATTTTACCCCATGTATGTGAAGCCTGCCCTCTACAAGTTGAGGATGTTAGATGACTCTCTGTGTATGATCATCGTTGTCTCCGACGGACTGCTAACATCCAGTAGAAACAGCATGTCAGTAATGCAGAGGTTCAGCATCGTGTGTTCAGGCACAGTGACGATAATTCAATTGTTGTCACTATCTTGAAACATCTTATTCGATGGCTTGGATATGTCTTGAGCATTTCATCCTAGAGAATTCCACATCGTGTATTATTTGTTGACGCCGGGACCGGTTCGAAAAAGCGGAGCGGTGGTCAGTGTATGACATGGTGCCGTGGTATGAAAGAAAGCCGTACAGGACTAGCTTCTGTCGGACCTTCACGACTCCCTGGATGAGGTCCTAGAGATGGTACAATATGGAGACTTAAGACAACATCAGATATGGCTGAGAATAGAAGCCAGTGATGATCCTGCTGTAACTGCTTTTACTTTATTCATAAAAGTGAAAGTAACTTCTTTTACTGAAAAAATCCTTTCTGGTTGTATTTTCCCCAACTGAACTGTTTCTCCCATTATTATTATTTCACTCTCGTACATTAATTTCTGTCCATTGTTGCTCGTCTTTTTATTATACTCAACCCCTATTGTCTCCTCACAACCTCCCTGTTATTTTGTGGCATATATGTATTTGGTGCCTCTTGTACCACTATTTGAGTTCAAACAGATGACTGTAAAAGAGTAAATATAAACAGCGTGGTTTGGAAATAAGAAATGAAGTAAAAGGCTTAAAAGTATGGAGTACCACTGAAGTTCTATGAAGATAGGAGAAAACTACATCCGCCTCACTCCTAATAACTTTGAGTTAAATCACTTATCTTCGACCACGAATTTTGATTATCGAACAGACCAAACCTAATTCGCCAAGTAATCCTATTGATAAATTATTTAAATTTTGTAAACAAATGGCTTTTTAAGAAAAATAAAGATATTTTAAAAGGCGAATGTGGTGAAAAACATACTTGTTAATGAAATTTTCTAGTCCTTTTCGTCGCTCCTCGATGAAATCCTCATCAAATATACCTTTATCTGCCCGAAAAGGTAATTGGCGTTTCCATGCTTTGCTTGGTAATCGAGGAACAACAATCTGTTGAAATGTAAAATAAGAATAAAATTAATTTGTTATATTCCCATTTCAAAACTTGCATACTTTTAAACCATAAATCTAACCATAAACAAGTAGGGAGACCGAGGCTGGCAAACGAAAAAAACGCAGATCCCTATATTTTCTATGTTGTACACCTGTTAGGATATAAACGAAAGACGGCGGGTTAGCCTACTATGCAGCAATTGGTTATGAATCATGACGCCTAAAGGTAGAAAACAGGCCGATGGTATCTGATCATAAACGTTAATGGATTATTCCTCGTCAATGGTAGCAACTACTTATTTATTTACACCTTTTACCTCTCATGGAGGAGCATAGGCCCCTCACCAGCACTCTACATTCAGCTCTGTCCTGGGCAATCTTTTCCAGTTGCTATTTATCCGTTTCATGTTTGCATTTAACTCTCGACGCAATGTGTTTTTTGGCCTTCCTCTTTCATGTTTCCCTTCAGGATTCAAAGTTAGCACTTGCCTCGCGATGTAGTTTGATAATTTCCCCAATGTGTGCCCTATTCACTAACAAAGTCTTTTCCTAATTTTCTCCTTTGCTGGAAGCTGGTTTATTCTTTCTTATAGTACACTGTTCCTGATGGTATCCGGTCAGCGGACATTCAGTATCTTACGTACACAGCTGTTTATAAATACTTGTACATTTTTGATGGTTCTGGTAGTCCTCCAACCGTCTTGACATTCGTATTCAAGATTCTGACTTTGATATTCAGTCAGTCAGCTACAACGTAAGACCAGGTACATATGTGCATCGGTCAAAGTTGCCACACCTTATTAGCACAAGATGAACACCAAATTCATAGTAGTTACTTCAATTGTAGTAATATATAAAAGAAGGACTGCATATAAGGATATAGTACAGGAAGAAAGAATTAGTTCGTAGAAAGGAAGGTATAAAATAATTTTAATCTCACGGTTTAAGATAAGACGGAAAGTATATACACCCACGCCATTGTGATCGATTCTGAGCCATGTCACTCAGAGTCTCCAACCATTAGTTACGATAGTCGCGCGGGCCCCAACCACGTAATCTGCATCTACTAACATGGTTAAGACCAGAAGTTAGTGATTTTGTGGACTGATGCCATGCTTTGGTTTGGCCGCCACTCTCTTCCATCGGTTTTCAACACTATTAAGTATCGTGTGCCGTGGAAGTAGGTGATTGGGCATGAGTAGTACGTGGACCGACCATCTCAGTCGGTGAAGATTCACAACCTCATCAACTGATTTAATATCATCCCCTGATACTCTGAACCTGATCTCACTATTACTTACCCGGTAATCCCGGCAGATGCGAGCAATATTTCTAAGGCATTTGTAACCTAAGAGTATCCCCTGTACCTAATGGCCACGTTTCATAGCCGCAGAGTAGAACAGAATGAACTGTTGCGCAGTATATTCGTCCTTTTATTGATAGACGGTTATATCGACTTCACCATAGGTGACGTAAGCTGACAAAGGTCAAACGAGCCTTCTCAATAAGTGCCGAGATTTCGTAAGACACCAAACCGAGATGGCTGATCAGACTTCCAGGATAAGTGAAGTTGTCGACGTGCTCGACTATTTGACTCCCTAACCTTAGTTCCCAAACGTTGCTCCTCCCTTGACGTGGTGGTTGGAATTGTCTATCGTGAGGAACCAATAGAGCTATACTGGTTGAAACAATTGTTCCTCAAGGTTTTACCATGTCAGACACGTCAGTTGAAGAGCGGTAAGACTAAAAGCAGCAAACCCAAGGTCCGAATTCGCACTGTTGACTGTACAGAGTTGTGGCAGCAGTAAGGTGTTTCCTTCAGACAACCAGCATGACACCGGTGCTGTTTCCCCACAAGGAGGGGTGGGGTTAGAAAAGGTCGACCCTAAATATACACACCTCGCCTTATTCCACGGATTTCCGTCTCCAACGATAAAGCCCCAACAAGTACGGAGTTCAAACGAAAACTACTCACAAAAAGGTTGTGTGTGATCAGTCTTAAGCAGTTGTCCCTTGGGTACTGAGATCACGCTCTCAGGTCACTAAGATTACCTCTAATCCGATTTCCTTTTCAGGTACCGCTAGAAGAACTCTTCCACAGTGTGGGCGACCGGGAAGTGATGACCACCCTCATGTCTCCAACAGCACTCAAGATCACTGTATTCATAATCAATCTCCCTCTTCAATTCCTATTATTCCTCCTACATCGGCTTTCAACCCTAAACTTCGGCTTTTGACTGCTTCTTCAAGTGCCACCATTGCCAACGATTCCAGTGCGCGAAATACTGTCCCAAGTCTACTGAAACCTTTCTCCAGACAACACATTGGAGTCTTCAGCGTACGCACACTGTGTCAAATCGGACAGCACAGAAAACTCGGCGAGACTACACTATACTGCCGACCCTTGAACGAATATTAAATAACTTTGAGAAATATTAGCCAATCAGAAGACAGTTGGTATACAGTGAAATACATAATACGAATCACAAACATTAAAGATACTGTTCTTTTACACGGTTCAAAAACTCCTCAAGGTCAGATATAGGTTCAGAAGTTCTAAAATCATAATGAGTACGGTACAGGAACACATCCATAGTTTAGTCTCGCCGTCTACATGCTTCACCAAAAATATTGAGAACAATTCGATGTTTTATCAAGGAACTTAAATAGATTTCTCCAGAGTGATTAGTAATCCTGGAGAAAATCCCCAAACCAGGTGAAATTTCCAGGCCTTTGGCTAAACTACCCCAAGAGTTTCTATAAGAGTTCCCTTAAAAATTGATCTTCTCCCAAAAATCGGCAGACAAAGTAACTAAATAAGTCACATACCTTGCTTTCACGGTCCAGTTCGTCACGAAGCCATTTGAAATCGCTGTATCTACGACGAACCGATGACTCTTTGTGTGCAAATATGGGTAAATTTGTCTACAGGAAAGTAAGCTAACTACAGAAATTTACGTACCCTGAGACTAACTTCGTAGTCTGTGAAGCGGTCTTTACCATCCTCGTGAGTAAGAGGGTTGCACACATCAATCTCTAAGAAATTCGCTGGTGGTGAATAAGCATCTTCTATTGTTTGCCTTCTGGGGACCAACCTTTGGGTTGCAGAAGCTACGGTTGCGGGCGACTCAAGCATACCGCGACTTTGTAAAACTGTCTGTAGAGATCGGAAAAAGTAAACCAAGTGTTTCAAAATCCTATATTTCGTTTCCTATCTAACCTAATAAAATTTCTTCTCGTCTAAAAATTTCTTATTTACTAGTTATCAACTTTTAGTTCTTAAACTGTTCAGATTATACTTAACTTTCAAATCCCATCTATTGGTCAGCTGCCCTATTATTAAAGAAAACAGTGATAGTTTACTTATATTCGGCTCTTCCTCTTTCCCTCATCCCCCACAGTTCAATTTTCCTACTTTTAGGAAGCATATTTTTTCCGTTCTCTAGCTTTACCAGTATTTACGCGTACTGAACAAACCTATAGTAAACCTTCATATATACCACTCTTCCTAGACGTCATCTTCTTCCCCCTTCGTCTATACAGTACTAAAGGTGTCTTTACAGTGAAAAAAAGCTGTATTCAATATAAACAATATGTTTTGTGGCCCAAAATGGGGATCACTGCATGGAAGAACACAACCGACTGTCTATACTAGAATAAATGAACAATTACAAACGTAATGATAACTACCAGAAGGTTCATTTGCTTGTAAGTGATAAAAGTTGTTCAGAGGTTAATGTTTAGCGACGATATATGAAAATTAATAACAACACTGAGTACCTATGTTATGTTTGCTTGGTATTATTTTATAACAGTTACAATATTCGTGAACACCGTGAAGGACCCTTCACACGAGCAGACCTAACTTACATAGACACATGAGCAACATGAAGCCAAAGATATGCGTAAACAAACAGAACTAATGATTCCAAAACTGCCACTCGTTCAATAGAGTGAGAGAGCAACCCTCAAGTTTAGAACTAATGGATTGTTTAGGGTTATAAAACTTTTCAACATCAGATTCCTTAGAACATACTACGGAAATCCAAACTATTATCTTCTCCCTGCCTTTGGTGTATGTGCTTCGGCAGGTACGTCAGAAATGATGAGTGAAATTCAAATTATTAAGAAATGATGGCTTGCTGATTTTTCTTTGTTTTCAAAGGACCTGAGACTAAAGCCCCTCTAACCCTTGCTAATACAGTGGCTGCAGAGACTCTCTAGTTCAACAGCTATGTAAACAATGTCAAGTAAATTTGATAACGTAGCTGGATACATTAAGAATGAAAGTCAGTAAAGCTGTCAGAGTAGCAGGCGTCCCCAATATGGCTACAAGACGGAGCCTGACGGAAATCCCAAACGTTCTAACCTCACTTTTGGTATGTAGCAGCTAAATATAAACAGAAGGACCAACTTATAACCCGATGTAAAAATCGAAAAATCGTAGCTAGAAGTTAAAACAACTTACTTTCTCACTTTTATGTTCGTCATATCTCCTAGTTTACCCCCCCCCCCGAAGTCCTGCTCACTGCCTTCTCGTAACACGGGTGTTGTTTACGAAAGTGAGAGGACGAAAAGCGAATGTCCGTCACTTTAACCGGGTTGGTGGACACGGAGGATCCACCTAGGGGAGTTGGAAAACCCTGATTCCAAACCAATGGTGCACATGGGCTCCAGTATCCTGATGGAACGAATGGCGGACGAACCTGTCATTGGTCAACGTCTACCATGGGACTGCATCTCCTCACGATGCTCCACTGCCTTGTGGATCAGACCTTTTGGTCAAAGGCTCGGGGTGTGGCCCCCTTAGAAAACCACCTGCTTCGGTTTGAGCACCTGGTCAGTATCACAGCCCACACACAAAAATAGTGTGGCGCATATGTACCTGGTGCCCTTTTGTACCAATATATATGTGTTTAAATAAATAAATAAATAAAAGTTTACCCCCTATTTAATGGGGAGATGTCCTCATATTTAAGCAATATAGACCTGCTCCCCACCTACACCCAATAACGTGTAACAAGCGATAAGATCTAAATCTTGGAGTCATCTGACTTTATAGCCTAACGAGGAAGCAAATGATAGTTCAGTAATTCCGCTTTACTAAATTGCAGAAGAGTAGCGTCTGAGAAATAGAATCGAGGAGTGAAGCAGTGCAGAACTTTAATTTAGCAAAGTGGTGACCAGACGTTTATTAGGTCACCAACATTCTCCAGCGTTAGCAACAACTAACGTGAACATATTGATCAAGGATATATCCCCGAACATGTAGCATTGGATCACACTTTACCATTCGATCTTTTTCAAACATATGTGGAGACAGGACTATAAAGCATATTTTGTAAACAATCTTTCATAGTTTTTGCATGTATTTTGTGTATTTTCATATTCTGTACATTTAGCATTAAACAATTTTACTTGTCGTTTAAGTGTAGTACTTTGAACTCTTGTAATTTGACTTCCTTCTTTTTTTTGAGTACAGCATATCGCGGCATTGTTACTGCTCCCTAATAAATACACTCTAACTCACATCTGCATCGTTCTGCCGTGTTTGCTAATATGTTAAATGAAATATTAATTGCATACCATCTCCGTTTATAGACTATTGTGACGTTCTTATTGAATTCTACGCTTGGTAAATCTACTGGATCCATATCGTCCTTATTGGAATTACTAATCTTTTATAATTGTGGACTATCTGGACCAAAGTCAACAGAACGCGCAATAGCCTGAAGAATTAAGTAACGCCCCTTATTTTTATCTGTGTGTAATTAACTTATTAACTGTTAAGCGTAACATAAACCTTAGACGTAATATTTTTGTTGCTATTTTTGTTTGCTACTTTTTGGTCTACCACACATATTTTTGGTACAGTTTTGTTTTTTAAAAGAAAATAAACCCCAGAATAATTTTGCAAGTCTTGGACGTTAATTCTGACCTCGTTGGTTTTACTGGACGCACCCTAGCTGGAGGCTCTCAGCTGAGCATCTTTACTGGATCACCATTGAGTACGTCATGCTACCCGTTCCTAGCAATAAATTAACTCCGTGAACGAACTAGTTACATTTGTTGATTGATTTCTACAGAACACAGGAACCACCAGCATCAGTGTTCGTTCAATTGAGGAAAAAGCCTCAAACGATGCAAAATAAAGTCTGAGATGCTTATAATGTATCACTAGTTTTCCCAGTGGTCATGATGATACCAAATGATCCAAAACTTCCTGAAGAACTTCTCCACAAGCTAAGTCTGTTTCTGGACCACGTAAAACGGATAACCTCATAAATACCAACACTACTACACCTAAGATAAATCTACCAGAAATTGCGGGAAGCTCTGTAGCTTCTTTGAGCTCACACCCTTCCCCACAATACACATTTCTTCTCGTGTTAACGACATCTATAGTCAGTGTATTTCGCCTTTTTCATATAGCCCTGATGAGATGACGAAAGTTCGTCTTCTCGTCGACACTGGTGGAGTAAGTGTCCTCACTGAGAATACTAACGGTCTTCAACAAGGTTCAATCTTAAATTTACTGATGACAAACGGAAAACCTACCTTTAATTACGGTAGAATGTACGTTTACCTTGACGTCAGTTTGCGCAAACCTGCCCAGTGGATTTTCGTTTTTGCAGACGTACCAATGTCAATCATCGGCTATAACACCACTATTTACCCACTGACCCGAGAAAACTGAAACTAGTTGACGGTAATACTAAATTATCTGTTTATGGAGTTTCATTTTATGATTGACGGTTGTGCGCGGTCCAAACTAAACATAAAATTGACCAAACTTCAAACATGATCGCAACTACCATGTAGGATCGACAGTGCCACACATCACATAATGACATCAGAAATCTGTTCTCTAAAGTGCACCGAATAGCCCTCGCAAAGGTAGGATTGGTTGAACTCGAATTTTGTGGTATGATAAATTTTGAGATTATCATGCCATCAGAGTAGTTTTTCTATAATCGCTCGGTTGAAGTGCTCAATTAAAGTTCTAGACTGAGAACAGCGTTTCTAAAATGGCTATCATTACTCCTTTCGGTTTATAAGAACTTTTACATATGCCTTTTGTTTTAAAAAAGCCGCCCAAACTTTCAAAGGTTGATGGCATGTTTACAGATCTCGACTTTGTGCACTCTGACTTTGATAACTGCTCAATTGCAAGTCCCGGCAGACAATCTTGCTTTCAATATCTGAAGCTTGTCCGCCATTGATTCGAAAAACGTTGGACTGTTGTTAACATTTAGAGATGTAAAATCAGAACGGACCCCTCCCAATTTATTTATTCTTTGCGAAATAAAGTGGCGATCACTCTGTATTCCTCAGAACCAACGACAGTCAAGCCATTGAACACTCAACGGACTGGTAATTTTTAAATGATCATTCAAAACGAATCCAGCGTCTCTCATGAGGTCATAAACAGACGAGCTTTGCAGAAATCTGAAAATCATCAAACCGGACAGCAATGCCGAGAGAGCACTTTACACAATTAAGGACAGCATACCCAAGTTAACTTTATTAGCTCATTTTAACACCAAAAGCAACATTGGGTAAAATGAACTTGATAGCATTTGATATTCCTCTCGAAACAGTCGCAAGATGCCAAGGAACTCTAAGCTATCCAGTGCGTTGCACAGCATGTTTTACATTTTATGGAAGGCCAAGAATCCACCCTGCTAACCGGTTGCGAATTTCTTAACCCGTCTTCGGACAAGTACTCCACAGTCCTGGGCAGCTGTACTACATCTCTCTCCGTTTACTACAGGAATACAATGTATTTCCAAGACAAGCGACGTAGTTTCAAATGCCTTATCTGGTGCAACATAAAAAAGGTGGCCGACGTTCGTAAACTCGCTCAGTTACTGAAAGTCGACACTGACTTTCAGCATCAATTATATTTCACAACTCGGAAACTGCGAATCAAGAAGATGCAAAGGAACCTTACTTTGCGACACATCTACAGTTAAGGACCGCCCAATCGTATCGGAAAATTATCTACACAACGACTTCAATGCATTACACAAACTTTTCGCACCGGATGTTCCGTCAACCGTCAAGCTTAAGTCAGAAAGATTTAGCTGGTCATTTATGAACAAAGAAATGAAGGACTGGGCATGCTCTTGTGTAAACTACCGAAAATCTAAGGTGATTAGACACAATAAGAGTTCCTGACGCCGGTTTAGACCGTGTCTATCTCGATTTGGTAGGACGCTTGCCAGACTCATGTAGATGATCTTAACTCTTAACGTGTATGGACTGCTTTACACCATGGCCAGAACCGGTACCTCCCATGGATATGACTGCAGAAACAATGGCCAGCATGTTTTTGAACGATAGGTTAAAATCCTCGGCTATCAGTCAATCAATAATATAGACCACAGACGCCGATTCGAGTCTGGAATCTTCAGTTTTTCAAATACACTGCTAGGCATCATACTATTCCAAGCGACTGATTGCCATCCACAGATCAACAGTATGATGAAGAGATTTCACCGACAGTTAAAAACTTCACTCTCAGCTACAAACATGTAACAATAGACTAACACCTTTCTGCCCACACTACTCGAAAGTCGCATTGCAGTGAAAGTCTATGTCAGATACACTAAAGGTGAACCAACTTACGGCACGTCATTCCGACTGCCAAGATAATTCGTAGATCCTTCATCTTCAATTATTGTCGGTTTATGCCATTACAAACGTGATGCGTTCATTTTAAATTGTTTCTGCTAGACCGCGATCAAGTGATTTTTGTGACCAACTTCCATTACAATGTAGTACACATGTTCTTGTACGTCTCGACTCATTACACCGATCCTCTGAAACAGCGTACGAAGTACCTTGTAGAATAATGGTCTACTTCGTTATTAATACTGCTCTAATAACATACCTAATCCTAAGGTTGTAGATCTGTAATGATGTACATCCCTAATCTATAAGATCTTGCGCGGAAGTCACATCATTGTCTACACCGACTCATCGTATTGTAATAATCCCCATTATGTGATGGAAAACGCATTTAGGCCGAAGATAGAACCATATATTTAGTATGAATAAAAGGTATGGGCTACACAAGAATGATCACGTCTCCAAGGCCAGGCCATGCCATTCGATGAGTTTGAATCCATTTAGTTAATCCTTCTCACCTCCATTGTTAGGTTTTTCTCCACATTGAGTGCTTAATATCTATTTTCCCAGTTGTTTCACGTTCAGCTTTGAGGATTGTGTGGTTAGGGCCTAATGCCACAAAAAATTTACGAAGTTCTTCACCGTGAATCTATACCATTGGTAGAAACGAAACTAGTGATTACATTAGCATAGATTAGGTAAAGGCCCTTTACTCATCAAGAAATCATATATATATTGATTTTACCACCAGACAATGAGGTGACGCAAATCTAACGACTAAAACGTAGTCCTCAATAGCTGAAGACCCTTGTGACTCTTCGCCGTCATCTGATAACCAGAATAAAATGACGCATTCTGGAAGGACTGGGCTTTTCATAAGACTTTTCCATCTCGTTTTTCGCACTCTACAGCTATTCGGTTGCATCTCCAACTTTTATCATGTCAGAAACGAAAAACCAAATAGCTGTTTTTAATAAGTACATTTAGTGTTCTTTAGGAATTAATCAAATTTTTAAATATGCATACTTATGCACATGTTGTAACCGTTGGAGTTGAGCCACGTCGGATGTGATGTAGTTACCTACTGAAGACAAATAGAGATGGTTTCGCAATAACGTGGATTAGTTGAGATTAGACATAAACACCGTTGGATGCCTTGCTCAGTGGTCTAGCGGTCAAACGTTCTAGTGCAAGATCGAAGGTCCTGTGTTCGAGGTTCGCCTGAGGGATCGTGTATGAGCACTGCTGAGGAGTCCCATGCTAGAATTAAACGGCCGTCTGGTGTTTCTGGGTTTTCGATAGTGGTCTAGCAGCGATCGGTTTATGAACTCAATATTCATGTTCATATCATTTTTCACAGAACATCCAAAAGTCTTTAAGTGGAATTCTTAAGCTGTCGCATAATATGCTCATATATACCCGGTGGTTTGTCGCATATTTTATTTGCCTAAGTAACCGCGAGTGTAGTTCAAAATGCACTCGCTCTTTAATTTCTTTATTTTCCAGGACGATTGAAGAAAGCAAAGAACCGAAGACAAACACGATTAATCGAACATTGCATTTTTCGCATTAATATTATGTACTACATAGTTTCTTAGAGCAGATAAAGACCATCCGACTTTGCTAGACTTAGTAAATTACCAAAAAATCGTTTAGTAACACCGACTTTCAACCTCCGACTAGTCACCTCCCAGGATTATCAGTATTACTTCAGGGGGAGTGAGCTATGGCGGTAAATAAATCCTCCAAATAGTTTGTAAGTCTTTGACACTAATCCCTATTTCGTTAGTTCTACAGGACCCACCCTAGATGAAGGCGCTTGGTAACTCATCAGTAACAGATCAACAATGAATATTCCGTGATACGCACCCTTCAAAATAACTAGTCACCTAAGATCAAATATTTTTCCACACAACGACTATCTTTTAAATATTCATTTGAACTCTTTCATTCCTGACTTCCTGTTTGCCCGTATTCGGAATCCTAGACTGAAAAGATGGCACGGGCAGTAATGATGTCAAGCCTTTAAAAGTCAATTTGAGTGTTACACCCAGTTGAAATGCGAACATCAACCCAAACGAGCTTATATTTGATGTTTCCATAATATAATTTGAACATGAGGTCACCAACTGAATTTAAAGTGCCATATTGCTTATTTAGATTGCTTAGATCTTTAAGGTGAAAAAAGTATGGCGAAGACTTTCAACTAATTCTTTATGAAGATATCCGTCCTCAAAAACACCGAGGCCATATGATAGTATGCTAAATAGTTACATGCGACCTACGCGCCAATTTCCTAACTAACGTAACTGTAATGTTAGCAACACAGTATGACGGAAGCAACCTTTCATTTAGAATTGTTCACCGGTTGGATATATTTTTCTTTCTATAGCTATAGCCAGTCAAAAGCTAATCGAGCTAAAAATTAACACGCAACTCATGAGGGAATTTATTCCAACAGTAATTCCAACGAACTGATCGCACTCAGTTGGTTAAAAGCTCGAGAGTTTCTCATTGCACAACGTAGGAAAGCTGTAGCGGGTCAAAACATCGCGCTATCTGCATTAAGTTCCGATTACCAAATTATCCTAATCTCAGGGCTGCATTATTGCTAGTCGCTGCCCATAGCTTTACTTATTAAATGTAAATGCGTTGTGTGCACTTTCTGAGTAGCCGACCGACCCATTCTTTTGTCCTTCTTCTCAGCTTTCTTCGCATATTAGTCTTAAGGTTCCGTTATCAAGCAAATAAGAGTCTCGAAACACTTTAGCCATTAAACTCAACGGTGTGAAGTAACCGGTTTTCAGTGAGGTACATAAGAAAGTTATTCTACTACTTTTACCCTGTAAGCTGATGGTAAGTTTTGTTAATGCCTAACTAAGTTTTGTTGATAAATTCCTTACACCCCAGAGTTATTGTGCTGTGAATTGTCATATGTCGCAAATCTGTTGGTCGTATAAAATAGCCATATCGCAAAGAGCAGTTATTGCCAAAACTGTGCTTTGTTGACAAAGTAATCAGAATTAACATTCAAATACCATAACAAAGCTATGTGTGCCATTTGATCCTTCCTCAGTATAATCCAGTTTAAGGCGTAAACGTCTTGTAGGCTTTTACTGGACCCTGTAAATGATGTCAAGTGACCAATTTTAGACAGAACCTGCTACATGTTGAAGAGTAGATGTAAGTGACATACGTTGTCCTTTGCTAGACTGTGTCGGTAGATGCTTTTATATGCGATAAACAAGCTTCTTTGACAAACGAACCAGGTACTTAGCTAAACAGGAGCAGTTGAACTGGTGTATGCACATAAAACTAGTTAGTCGTCCCTGCTTAGCCCACAACAGGAAGCATACATATGGACAACCATGGTATGTTATATGGAGATTTACTTTATCAAATGTCTTTCTAATCGTTCTCTAGAAACATTTTCCAGGTATAACACGATATTCTTTTTAAACTGTCGATTTATGTTATGTAGTTTTCTTCGCCAATGTATATTTGCCCTGTGATAGCCATCTCTCATTCATATTTTTCTCAATAGATCACATTAAATATCTTTTTCTATAAAGGTAGATTTCAGAGTTTCCAGTTCTTCCTCAAAGCAGTTTAATGAACGGATTGCTTGGTAACTTAAACATCGAGAATTTAATTTTCTCATTATTGAAAACTAACCCTCCGCTAAACTTCCTAAGTACAATTGATAGTTAAGATAAAAAAAACAAGACAATTTTCACTCATTGGTCTCTGTGGCAATAAAACCCATTAAAGTTTAACTTTGTTCATTGCTGGGTTGCCATTCATAGTGTAGTAAACTCTATAACCATACTGGGTAGTATGCATTAACTAATGAGTAGTAACTGAATTTCGCTTTGCACATCATTGAATTGAGTAAAATGAAGCTATTTACTTCAGTCATTGTGGATTACGATAGATCTTTACTATACTACATTAAGTATTCGCCCGCGCAATGTGCATATGCAGGGTTTATGCTCTGTAGCGGGTACATTATCGTAGAATGTTTTATTCAAAAACTGGTTTATTGTTTGTAAAGTGTTGGCCTAGGGACTTTTTCAAAAGAGTTATCCATTTTTGTGATTTATACCAAGATTCTTGGTTTCGAAATTAACAATTTCCTTCGCTTATTTGCATCCACTCTATTTGTTTCTATAGGCTAGATGATCGAATCTTCATATTCTGTAAAGGCTAAAATTTACGAGTTGCGAACTTTTTATGATATACTTCCTAGATAAACTTTATCTCAATCATAAACACTTTGAAAATGGCTGCATGCGTGGCAGTAATTTCCGATACTAACCAATTGCTTTACTTGAGAACTGCTGAGTGTCCTGACCCTTTGTTCTACCACTTCAAAGCACATTCTGCTTTGGATGTTATCGAAGATAAATTATCCAAACGTACTTCTGGTGGTAATCATGATCAACTAGAACAGTATCTAGGACTCCTATATCCAATGGAGGACCACAGAATTTATGGTTATGTGACTAATACAAAGATCAAGGTACGTGCAATATGCACAAGGGAGTAGTCACAGATTTCAGTATCATTGTATGTTTGTTTACTTTTCAAAAGTAGTTTTCATAAATACTAAATGAGTGTAATTGCTTTCTACCATCGTTATATGTATTCAGATCTAACGCAATAATATTGTTGGGTTCATCACAAACAAAAAAGTCTATATAGACATTTGTTAGAATGTCAACTAGACTTTTATGCCGAGTATATAAAAAATAACGAATACCTATAAAGCTTTCAGAAGCCTAAATTAAATAGTCTCAGGATTCCACCCGACTTTCTGTTTTGACTTTTTTATATCTAGAAAAACCTATTAAATTCTTAAGTAAAATGTTAGGATAATTTATTTACCAAACATCAATATGCTCGTGGACTCCATATGACTTCAAGAAACAAGATTCAACTAAAATGTTTATTAGTCGAATACGTGATTTCATCTTTGGGCTAATCATTAGTCATTAATCTAGAACACTTGAAAAAATGTTTCGAGATATTTTTTACTCTTAATACATCTATTACGTAAATTTAGTATCAACCGTTTAAAGACTTGAACGCTCAATTACTATTTACATTTAAAATGATTAGTCCCTTTGATAGATTTCGATAATGCAATGAGAAGACGAAGTGTATAGGAATAATTCTTATAAACTTCGTCTTCTCATTGCATTATCGAAATGGTTACATAAAGTGTAACTAGTAACTGCATTAAACTTGTCACTTTCCCTAATTTGGAAATCAGTCACAGCTCAAATACAACTAATTTATTAGCTCTGCTTACTTTATACATATACCTTGAACAAAGCTAAGACAAATGGATGCATATTTGCACATCTTTTAGTGAAATCGTACCCACGAAGTTGTACCGCTATATTCTACAATAATATTTGCTTTTATATAGCGGCAAAAGTGAGAAATACTTTGTGTTTCGACTCAAATTTCTTCCATGTAACATAAGGGATAAACTGTCAGTTTTCAAAGCAAATTTTGCAGCAATTTACATTCATAATGGTAAGAATGCATATAGATCGGCATAGAAATATAATCTGATTCCCCTGCTTGTGAATCGATGAAATATTTCCGTACATAAGTTAGACTTGGATTTTCGTTTTCATCAATCTATGAAACTAAATTACTTCTACATAAGATTACTATTTACTTGAACACATAAATATTAGTACAAAGGGACACCGAATACATATGCGCCACACAAGTCACTTGATTTGTATGTGGTGTGTGATAATATTCGGGTGCCCAAACCAAAGTAGTTGGTTTTTTAAAGGGGACACATCCAGAGCACTCGACCTAAAGGTCTGGTCAGGAGATGCAGTTTCATGGTAGCTCGTGACTGACGATTGGTTCATACGCCATTTGTCCCTTCAGGATCGTGGAGCCCATGTGCACCATTGGTTTGGAATGAGGGTTTTCCAACTCCCTTAGGTGGACCCTCTGTATCCACCAAACCAGTTAAAGTGCCAGACATTCACTTTCCTTCTTTTCAATGTCGTAAACAACACTTCTATCACGAGAAGACTGATTCTGACTTCGGTAGCAGTGGCTGTATACATGTGGACATGTGAGAGCATTTCGAGAGAGGGATAACTCTCCCCACTCTTGGCCGTACCAGTGCATTTGGGGGCTTTACATAAGAGAAAAGTAGAGTTTATTGATAATGTAGTTGTAACGTACTTTTGTCTTATTAGCTGTATATCAAAGTAAAATATTTAGATGCTTGTCTTTTGAAAATAAATGTAATGAATGTCACTAGCCAGCTACATTGTGGAAAATAATTTTTAGCTCAAAAATAAGATCTCAAAGGAGTTTCACTCACTAAGCAAGATGGTGGGATTTTGAAGCTCTAGTTGTATTTCTAGACGATATCAAAACACTTCGTGTATACAACTTAGAGAATTTCACACCTCGAAAATCATGTTCATATTGTAACTGTAGATTAAACTGAATTTATTCTGCTTGGATTAACGTCCTACGTTGTCTTTCTAGAAAAAAGTGTTAGATGGTCTGAGACGTAAAGTTGAAATTCCCAGATCAGATTCTCACTTGAGTATGTTCCACTTTTAAAATAGTAATACTACTAGCTTTATTCAGTAATTTATGTATAAATAGATCCTTTATTACAAATGAAGTTGTTACTGTTGTTAAGAATGCATGATCATCCCTTATTATAGAATCGAATTTTTGTCTCAATCGCAATTCTATCTTTTTTTCTACAGTTTATCATGATTTTTGAGTCACATGTTTTATCTTCTCAATCAACCCAGTCCGGTGTATCAGTTCATCAGACGCATCTTCGAGATGTTGATGTTCGAGCAATGTTTCAACGTCTGCATACCGCTTATGTTGCTTTAGTATGTTCACCGTTTTATAAGTCAGGAACACCTATTCAACCAGATAAATTATCAGCTTCACATCGATTTGATCAATGTATTTCTTCACTTCTAGCTACAAATGCTAGTTCTGGTTATTGTTCTACATTTACTAATCTAATTGATGAAAGAAAAATACCTACTAGTGATAGTATAACAACAACAAATATAATGTCTCCTAAAGCCTAATACTCATTTGTATAATTTTTTACTTTACTTAATATAACTTAAATTTTGCAATCATATTTTTTTGTAAATGTTTGTTTGTATGCATATTGTGTTGTGTTGTATAATAAGAATTAGGGTTTTTCTGTTGATAACCACTTACACTAATATAACTTATGTGTAATCATAGCATCCTCACAAGTATTATGTACCCTGATGTGATGAAAAGATTCGGTTTTTTAGTCCATTGTCAGCAAAGGTCAGGCCGTAATAATCTATATTGTGACCAAAGGGTTAGGTGTCGTAGCTTGGTTGATTATGTTTTGCGATTTGATATAATAAAAACTAGGTTTGGTTCAACGTCAAATTTAGCAATACGTAACTGGCAAATCAGTAAAAGGTCGAAACATGCACTTAGTATGCTATTTTGTGATGCGTACGACCTTAAAGTGTCAACATCTAAGCCAGAGAAATCTTCACCAAAGATTTATTGAGGAGATCACAACATATTTTAATGGTTCACTAAAGTTCTGTGTGTAATTTGTTATTAAATAGTCTTATTATACTGTCATAATGTTTTAATACGAATACTGTAGGGCTATGAAGTTAGTGTCTGTCAATGATCATTAAGATGTCATTTACTCTTGAGATACAGCATTTTACCGATAAGAGGATGTTTATGAGTTTGTAAAGTGTAAATAAGAATGGCGATTATTGTTAGTACTTTCCTTTGGTTTATATAGTTTCTAATTCACATTAAGTTCTGCCCATAGAATTGCTTTTATTTCTTTAACGTAGTTTTTCCTATAATATATATACACTGTTAGTGGATGCCAGATTTGACAAACATTAGTACCAAAACCATCTCTCTCAAATTCCCAACCTTGAAAACCTAGAAGCCAACACATGAACTCAAAACTTCTTCTCTTAACCAGTTACTTATTTCAGAGATTCTAATTATCAATTTATTTGCTTAATTTGAATGTCATTCTGCCTTTTCTTAAACACACATTCAGATATAAAAGTACTGTCGAAGATAATTATATGATTTTCATTTATATGGGCTACAAGAAGGTTGATACTTTCCAATTGTTCTTCGAGAAGTAGTTTAAAATGTTAAGTATCGTCAGATTTTCTTAGGGAAATCAGTCCGCAGAGTGAATTAGAGTTTTGTAAATTAAAATTATCGAATTTAACGTAGGTCTTCATTCCTTGTTAAGGTTTACGAGAACTACATGTAGCATCTAGATTTAAACTAACAGGTAACTTATATTTATTTTTGTCCATTTGAGGACATAAGGAAATTTCCGAGTTAGACTTTTTGCTGTAATTTCACTCCAAAACATCAGGTATTGAACCATGTAGAGTAGAAAGTGTTTGAGTATAACATGTTACCGAGGCTCTTCAGTTATAAGATAGAAGTCTTGTTTTGTGAAGATTTCAGTATTTCTCATAGTCGAAATCAAGAGTCAATTGAAGTTAGACCACCATAGCAAACCTGGAAGTACTGGACGGCCGTTTCGTCCAATTATGGGACTCCTCAGCAGTGCGCATCCACGATCCCTCACTCGTGAGATTCGAACCCAGGACCTACCAGTCTCGCGCCAGAGCACTTAACCGATAGACCACTGAACCATATGTATGTAGCGCATATGTATCTGGTGCCCCTTGTACCAATATGTATGTCTTTAAATAAATAAATAGAAGTCTTGTTTATGATTATCTTAATATGCATGAGCTGAAAATTTGGAGACTTCAACCTGCAGACAGATCATGTCACCTAAAATATTAATGTACTTCAACGTTTGTTTCTACCTACATTTACAAATAAGGAAAGGTGTACGTAACTTTGGGAGATAAAATTTACATTGGTATTTCATTATCAGTGTTCTGCTTTCCATCGATTATTGTCATAAAATAGTTCCCCCATGATAATCTAAGCTTGTATAGCACTCAACTATTTTCATAAACACAGTCAGAACGGAAACAAGAATACATAAAAATAGTAGGGTATTGGTCAGGAATCGAAGATTAGGGAGAGGGCTTATTTCGTCTTCACTGTATCCATCACTGTTTGGTATCTTCAGTATACTCACTTTCAAATAGGAAACTTAGGAACTAGATTATGTATTACCATAGCATTCTTAGTTTGGGGACTGTTCAGATAAATGCACTCCATAAGGTTGGAGGTGTTATGTAGTTACTACTAACGTCGTATTCTTTCAAAGAATACTTAGTTTTCCTGCACCCCATTCAAAATTTATTCATGAAGCCGACGTATTTGGAGATGCATATTGAACAGAGGTTAGTTTGAATTGAGTAAATTAATATTCTACGTTGCGTTTCACTTAGTTATGAATATTGTTTGTTTCAAGAATTATAGCAAATGCCGAAGTATTTCTTCCAAAGTACTAGAACTGAGTGTATTACTTGTGAATCAGTGCGTGAAATTGGCTCTCAGGACATCAAGAATTCTACTACATTAGTTAGTCATCGTGACTTGATGAGTGCTCAATGTCATACGATTAACGATAATCCTCGTTCTCGTGAAGATTAGATGAGCACTACTAGGCGTATTACGTTTGTAACTCGCATTAAACACACAATCAAGTACAAAGAGATCAGCACTACGTGAAATTACCACCTAAAACATGAAATTCTCAGTATTATAGTGTAACGGCAAATAAATCCCCAAAATCAATAGCTCTGTAAGTGTTGAACATTGGATACTGACCACATTAGTTTTAGTGGACTCATTTAGCTGAAGGCGCTCGTCATGCATCCGTACCAGATCACGGGTTGAAACGCAGTACTCAACTTCTCCCGCGATCGCCAGCCAGTTTAGATCAGTCACTTCGCATATTGATAAGCTATCAAATATATCTTACAACCTCCTCGCTTCTGACTTTTGGTTTCACTGGGTGGGCGCGATTCAATTATAGGTATCACTGGTAAAGTGTTGCCAAACTACAATACCTGTGGCATCTTCAACAGCACGTGTTTGTAAGTTTGCCGCCATATGAAAACGTCAGCATGTAATGCCTGCAATATTCTGGAGGTACATTCTTTTGAATTTACATCAACTTCGTAGTGCAATAGTCCGTTAGCAATGAAAAATTAGTTTTAGGTTATATATTCAAAATGAGTGTGGTTGATCGTCTCCAACTTATGTGGGACTGTTTACGGGAAACCTTGTAAAATTTTTGAAGCCAGCAAAAATTTTTATAGAGACATTTATTGGCTGGCTCCTGATAGCTACTGTTGATACTCTGTTGCTTTTCTTCATTCACTGACACTTCATATACAGTCCATCATCACTGACGTATGCACTGGATATCGCCCTTTCAGATAATTTCAAGCGGGGAATTCTTGGGTTCTACAACGTTGTTTTTGAGAATAATGAATCGAAATGGGGTAAATTGTACATTGTACTAATAATAATAATTCTTTATAACCCCTTCTCATCAATACTACATTTTAGAGACGAGCTAATCAGCTTTAAGATAGGGTCTTGGATTTTGGTGCAAAACTCATTCATCCACTTGGTTAAATAGCATTTCCGCATTACAATTAATGTCAGTTCATGATGAGAAGCCTATATCTACTTCTTAAGACTGACGTCGAACTGTAAATTTTAATCGTAATTCCTCACACTAATTCACTACCCTCATTTAACTAGCAGGTATGTGGACATTCTTAAGGTCACTTAATGGTCGTCCGTCAATTATAGACTCACTGAAATCAACGTATAAAATAAAGGGGGTAACGAAGATAATAATAAGCCAATGATAAGCAGTAGTGATAACCGTAGGTAAGTTGTTGGACATCGTTAGCCACAGCTAGTCAAAGAGGGAGATGATAATCTGTGGTTTATGTTTGCCAAATCTCCTCTTGAATCTATCGACTGGTGTGACTGTGGTCACTTTGATTGGTAGAGCACCTCAAGTGGTTTCAACTCTTTTTAAGAAAAAGTGGGAGTATATCTGAGTCTTAGCTCATTCGTGTACAATTTTTGTCTAGTTGCCTTGAGAGTGATGGTGCTTTTCTGGTCGATCTTCGTGAAGGATGTTGTTTATTTTTATTTACTCTCTAGTTTGTAGGTTCACTTTGAGTTATCGATCGGTAGAGATATTTAGAGTTAGCTTGTATTTGACAACTAGCTTGGTCTAGAAATGTCTCTTATCGCTTCGAACATTGGCGTTGCATCTGTTGTTTAATTCTGAGTGAGATCTAGAGTCAGGACTCTTCCTTCTGCCTAGTAGCCAGTGCTGTGTGCCTCGCTGAACTCAGGACCTCCTCCTTCCAGGTGTGTGATTCGCCTGCGTTTAATTTTGTAGGCTGACGTTGTAAATGATATCCCTCACTATCTTCCAGTGGTTATCTGCTATTAGACTGCACCACTCTTGCGACCATGCAACGTGTTGAAGACATTTCTGGTCACGTATTCTGCTATAGTATAGGAAAGTTAGGGGATATTCTCGTCCTTTTGAAGTATCTCATCCATGACCACATTGAAGATGATTGTGCTCTGGTTACTACTCGCCACTGATGCTTGGGCATGAATATCCTCGGCTAGAAGCTGAGCATTTGTTAGTGAATAGTCCAATCTTGAGGATATTCTGCGTTTACCACATCTCAGGACGCCATCCTCACATTTAGTGAGTCCCGAATTTCTAAAGACTGTGGCAACTTGCTTGCGTAATTGCTTTACAGTAGTTGTATCCTGATTTCTGCGATTAAGGGACGGTATGTTAATGTCCTCAGATAGTAGTATCTTGTCCAACTCCAGGTGTTGTAAGTTGTAACATCACCTGGGTTATATCATTCTGGGTGTTTAAACCGGTATGAGGCCGCTGCACTCCTCCAGCCAAATACCTCTTGCTATTCGCTCTGAAGCAACAAATGCGTGATCATGTTACCGCGTCAGTTCGGTACTGAGTGGTGATACGGCTTTGATGTGGGCGGTAACGCATACCATCACTCCTACTCCTGTTTTATGTACCCTGTCGTATATAAATTTGTCATGCATTGCAATCCCGCTTCTTCATCAATGACGTCGAGTGATGACTTTGTTTAGGTCAATACTATGAGCATTAGATCCAGCTGAAAACATGTTTCTGATTTCTAGTTTACCTTCAAGTCCTATTCGTTACTATAGAGGCACTTGATGGTTTGTTTCATTGCCCGATGCTTCTCTATAGCGGCGTCTGTCTTCTGGTTTTTAAGCAGATTGTTGTTTAAAATGTATCGATCAGCTTTACAATAATTGGTCGCTTTGTCCTATATGGCGTATCCCATTAGCGAGACTGTGGTCTCTGCGTTCTGTACAGTGACTTGCCGAACGAGATCAATCGGTCGGTTCTGAATGGCTGTTCTTGATTCACGTTTCTCAACCAGTCTACTATTGCAATCGTCACGTACCATTAGCTTTTTTATCCATCCTGCTGTCTGTCTGGTCACAAAACTCCTACTGTCCAGAGACAATGGCACTCATCTAGATTATAAGACCTCAACACAACCACCTGGATGATCAAAACAATTTCATTTGAATAGCTAGATTACTCCTTATAGGTCACCGCCAAACTGTATGACAGCAATAAGAGGCGAGAGAAAAGACATAATATGATCTACATTGGTTGAAAACCATTGGGTATTGAGTAAGGAGAGCAGGCCAATCACATTACTCCTAAAACTGTCGAAGGTAATGGAAGGGCTGGTCCATAAACACGTGAGGGAATACGTAGGTAAAAACTAAATTATCTATGAAGCCCAACATGGATTCAAAAATGGCAGGCTCTGTGTTTCAGATCTACTAATAGCGACGTCGAGCTGAAAGACCTAATGGGATCACACGATACGGGTTTACGCAATATCCCCCGATTTCACAAAAGCCTTTGACAAAGTTGATGAGTCGGCTTCCGGAGAACTCTAACAGAGCCTCCAGAGGCTCATAAAGAGCCCCAACCAATCAGCGATTAATTAGAAGTTATGTGAAGTTATGTTACTAAAATAACGAGAATGAAAAAGTCACATGTGGAGATCCTGATTGGCTGATTAACACACTGCTACTATGTTTAGCAGTATTCTAGAACTTTCGGTAAAACTCAAGGTCTCTTAAATTACTATAAAACCCCTATATTTTCTGTACATGAATGAACCCTGTAGTAAAGTGCTTCCCTCACACTTTATGCCTTTTCTCTGGTCTTCAAGTCGCGGAGTAGTTCTAGCTCGGGGGTACGGAACTAGCCTAGGGAAGCGAATAATAGCGTTCACAATCGGCCAGACGTAACAAAAGAACTTCATATAATTCTCGTAGTGAAGGTTACTAAGATGGGTTTCACTGACCCACCTCAATCCTTGGTCCAAAACTACACGGAAAGCAGGATTTTTCGTACCAGGGTAAACAGAGTGCATCTAGTAGGTGTGTCTCAGTATTGGAAATTTCACAAGGGACAATATTAGGTCAGCCTCTGTTCCTGATCTACATTGATTAACTGTTAGTTGAAGTTAGCCTAACTACAATCGTCATTGCAGATGAGGCTAAGATCTAAGGGTCCATAAAAAGCTAAATGATACACTGAAGATTAAAAAGAACGCTTAACAATAAACAAATGGAATGTAGATAATGGATCGAAAATTCATTTGCTGAAATGTCATCTTCTGAACATGACTGAATCATTTGACGCAAAGCACTTACACCCTCCATGAAAATGCGCTTCTGATTGTCTCTTCAGAGCGTGACGTCGAGCCCGTAACCATGGATAGAACTGTTTATGGCTGTATAACAATAGTTCATATCATAATGTAACACGTTATATATTGATGTTCACTTAGAAGCAGGAGCGATCTGAAACAACAACACTACAGTCAATGTGTTTACTCTTTGTTGCCCTACAATATAAAAACAACCTCGCATCATAAACGTCGCATGGAATGATTTTTATCACCATTACAATATTCATGGATAGTTTGACTCTCAATTGTTTCAATCTACAATTTATAAACAACTGCTAACACCCATGTTCATCACTACCATAATAAGGGAGGTGAATCATATGTAAATTATTTTACAGTTTGTTTTTGCTTGAAACTATAATTTCGGTCTATTTTTGACTTGATAAATGGTGGATTTCACTTGCCTGAGTTTACATTGTTACGAATAACCAAATTACGCTGACTAAACATTCACCCAGGTTGTGAGCAACAAATACGTCAGTCAACCAATGGACTGCAATAAAAGCCATGTAACAAGCATAAACATTACAAAAATTGACAAGTGACGGAAAAATGCTGTGATTAGCTGGTAAATAACATTACAAATCCGCGACAACATGTAACATGTGAGCGAGAACCAATGACATGACTTTTCGACTCTGCCTGTGTAGGTAGTATTTTAGGTTATTCCTAACAAGAGCGCGGTGACGCAATTAAATAACTGAGGCGATTCATATCACTACATAATATGTGGATTTGTGTTGCCTAAAGTAATGGGACTTCAATACCGAGGATTCATAATAAGCGAAGAACTCAAAACTACGAGTAACTGCAAGACTGTCGCTGCCAAAGGATTCAGCGTTTTCTAGGCTATTCGTAAGTCATTTCAGTAAGTGAACGAAGAAATCCTTGGGGTATTATACCTGACTTTTATGAAGTCACATCTGAAGTATGAGATTCAAGTAGCGAGTCCTTGTTTCAAATAAGAGGCAGACATGCTGGAACGAGTTCAGTGGCGAGGGACCAAAATGGTAAAAGTTCCTCTTTGCCCATCTTATGAAGACACCCTGAGATGCGCCAACCTATTTCCGTTATCTTACCACAGGTTAAGGAACGATCTAATGTTGACTTATCGTATACTGAACGCTCATCTTTCCCTTTCATTTAGAACTGATCATTTGAGAGGACTTTCTTAGAAAATTCGAAAATTAAGAAAAATAACTGGAATTCTCTACTTGCATACTCAATGTCAGTATCTTCTGCTGATGCATTCAAAGCGAGATTGAATTCTCACGGTGTGACGGATTGCAAGGATTAACATAGATTGACAGATCTGGAAAATGGTTTAACACAAGTTAGCTTACTTATTAAATTTGTGTATATATGCTCAGTCACTATCTTTTCTTCTTGTAAAGGAATTTTTTATAATGATTCGGGCTGAAGATTTTCTATCGTGCTAAAAATATATATTGAACAAAGTCATAGATAGTAATACTGACCTGGCGCGGTTTGCAAGTCGCCAAGGCCACTCTCCCGTACGTCTGAGGTGAGTACGTGTTTTCTTCCTCAAAATCATGGTGATGTTTCGTTTTAATACACCCAAGGTAGTAACACACAACATGACCCCATCTTCTTTTGTTCGCCGCTCTATCTGTTTAACAATATTTGGCAAATTGTCGACATATATATGTTTATGAATATTCATTAAAGGTAATATTGGCTCTTAGGTCTAATTTTAAATCTAAGCTGCAGCGTCTTTAAATAATCACTAATCCATTTTACTCTTATTGGCCTATTCCAGTGTCTTGCCATTTCTGTAACTAATCAAATCTAATCATTCTGTGTTGATTTTCTTTCTTAAATGACCTTGAGAAATAGAGGAAGACAGTTAGTATACAGTAAAAATGTATTATACAAAATCAAAGAATTAAATTGGAAACACTTCTTTTACATGAGTCAAAAACTTCTCAAGGTCAGATATAGGTTCAGAAGTTCTAAAATCATGGTGCATACGGTACAGGAGCACATCCATATGGCTCCATAGTAGTCGACCTCTGAAACCATGATAAGGTCTCAAAAATTCTTTTAGCCTTGACCACATAGCTTCAATAATGTTAGTATATTGGTATGGTTTACGATATAGGGTTAGAGTTAAGGTTTCGTGTTAAGGGTGAGACTATAATTTATGAATGACCTTTGAGTGACGCTAGAGTGACTCTGAGAGTGTCAAATAATAACTAAGACCAAATAAGGGTTATAAACCTGTAAGAAGAATTCAAATTATGATTTACAGTTCATGGTTAAGGCTAGGAATTATACTTAGGTTTTTCATCACGAACTGACATCAGCTATAATTCCAAAACTCTATTTATCCAAATGGATAATTGAATTTTGCGCCAAAATCTTATAATCACTTCTCTTGTAGACGCTGAATTATCATGTCTTCCCTAAAATCCGCTGTAAACCGATCGTACGTAAGCATCAGGTACCGAACTTAGCGCCGTGACCTTGAAAACCCGCGATAGCTTCTGATTGGTTCGGCAGTATAGTTTAATCCTACCAAATTCAAGTAGAAAGTAAACCAGCTTAAGCTAAGGAACTATCAGGTCATTATGGGAAGGTTAAAAATCCATGTACCTACTAACGGAAATCCTGTGTGAATGCGATCTTAGCCTGCCTGATAACCAAGTAAAAACGAGACATAAATACACACTATTTTGGATAAATTTTGGTGTTTTCCTCAAAACCTAATAATCTTCCCCAAACTTTGAGGCTTTTGTGCCATTTCCTGAAATTTTTTCACAATGTTTTCTCGGCTATACAATAATATGTGGACGAATCAATCAGATTTGGAATAACAGGTCTTGGATTTCGGCACGAAATTCGTCAATCCATTTGGCTAAATAGCGTTTTGGCACTTTAGCTGGTGTCAGTTCGTGATAAAAAACCTAGATCTAATTCCTAACCCCAACCATCACCTACAAATCATAATTCTAATTCGTCACATTGGTTTATAACCCGCATTTATTCCTAGTTAGTAGATGAACATTCTTAGAGTCACTTTAACGTCGCTCAAAGGTCGTCCATAAATTATATTGTCACCGTTTTCCTACTTTACATTTTTTGAGGTGAAGAGTAACGCAACAGCATCCACCAACCTGCTGTAAGCCAGGTCGTCATGTAAATGTAATCCTTAACCATTTTGATAAATTCTAAGGTTACCTGCACAGGGTGACCTACCAAAAGGTATCTAGTCAAGTTTGATTGATTTGTGTAAACAGGTACCTGAAGCTTTCCTCGTAGTTTTTCAAATCTCAACGCACTAAACAAAATAAATTACACATATTATTGACTCAGTCTATGTATCTTCACAACATTTAATGAAGTAATTAAGTCTACTGCAGGATTGAGAATGTTTGTATTATGTACGTTACTTGTTTCATTCCTTTAAGAGCTCACTGAGCTGATTCCTATCATAACTATAAGGGTCTCCCGACAAAGTGTGATCCTCATTCTACATAAATACTTAAATTTCTGATCAAACTCCTTGGTTCTTTGAAATTCTCCTTTGTAGATACTGGTGAGTTCGGTGGTTGACTTAGGGCTTGGGTAAAATCCTCATAGCAATCATCATTCTTAACATTTCATTCATTAGAGAGGTCTTTTGGTGTGTGCTTAAAGGTAATTATTTGAAACACGCCAGAACACTGTTACGTCTGGCCGATTGTGAACGCTATATTCGCTTCCCTAAGCTAGTTCCGTACCCCCGAGCTAGAACTACTCCGCGACTTGAAGACCAGAGAAAAGGCATAAAGTGTGAGGGGAGCACTTTACTACAGGGTTCATTCATGTACAGAAAATATAGGGGTTTTATAGTAATTTAAGAGACCTTGAGTTTTACCGAAAGTTCTAGAATACTGCTAAACATAGTAGCAGTGTGTTAATCAGCCAATCAGGATCTCCACATGTGACTTTTTCATTCTCGTTATTTTAGTAACATAACTTCACATAACTTCTAATTAATCGCTGATTGGTTGAAATGCCCCTTGATGACTCCTGAGCTTGTCATGTTGCTTGCGAGAAAATTACAGGGTCATCCCAACAAACACCATATATAGTAACTAATTTTTTAGTAGATAAATGAAATAAGACGATTTGTTCTTTAGGACAATAGAATTCTTACCACAGTCAAGATTTATGTTAAAAGTTCTTTCTTATCCCATTAGACCTACCTGGGAATTTAGGATTTAGTTACTTATGCGGTTACTAATGGAGGACAGTATTAATAAATTAACGACAACGATATCAATGTTATGACTATCGTCCTGATGATCTCCGGGTTTCGGTTTTTCATTGTTTTCCTGTGAATAATTGTCGACCAGCATCCAGTTCAGCGGTGGTTATACCACTCCCGAACGTTATGATGACTAGCTGAAATCAACTTACTGACCACACTTAGGTCCTAAAGAATTTAGGAAGCACTATATATTCATGCTATAAGAAATTTAAGTATTCATTAATAACGTTTATCATCCTCCTTAAAAAGCTATAACATTAGGAGCTCGAGCACAGTTTAGGTCGTGGTTTCAGGAAATTGGTGGTCTTTAATAGTCGTTGCTATTGGGAAAAGAAGCGAATTAGGAGATCAAGGGTTTCTAAAAGAAGGATAGGAAAGGAAACAGGAAACGTTCATTGAGTAACGAGACCAGCTCCTGCTTCAGGGTGTGAAACCTCAAGCATACTGTGTTCAAAATTTCATGAAATTTCAAATGTATAAAATAGTGTTAGTTGTGGAATTATAATTATAATTCAATCTGTTAGCTAGGTAATTACTACGAATTTAAGCACTATGAAAAGTTTTAATATTCCGAGTATGAGTTGATGATTTTAGTCTGTAATAATTAAAATTAATAATGTCTAAAATAATGCGTAGCTGAACTTACTTGCTTCTAAACCGTTGAAACTGGGAACCCTCATAAACTCAGCAACAACTATACAACTATATTATAAGTAAGTGTAAACCGTTATTGTGCATAACACCACTGTGAAAATTCCATAGTATTGTTTATAAAGTCCTCATGAAAATATTGCATGTCATGTAAGGATGTAATTGTTTGGTGAGAATCTATTCACCATTAAACACCTTTCTATTCATTTTGAAGTTTGCCATTTGTTCAGAACAAAAAGTAAATCTTAGTTATTCATCTTGTGCGTTTCTGTTAGTTGTTTGTTGAGGGCTTTCCACTCTATCGATTGATAACCTGAAATACACATATCTTCTTGTGTCCGAAATATGTACAAACGCTTTCAATTTAATAGATACATTTTCCTACAAAGTACAAACTATTATGTCCTACACCTGTATGGTTGATCATATGCTTCTGATAATTATTCTTTTCCAAATTAAAGCGTACCTTCTTATTGAATAACCAAATGAATCCTAATGGTCCCATAGGATATGGATGGGAATTCGGTCAAAATGCTACTACTACTTCACGGTGGGAACAACCACAAATTGGATTCTGCTTCGATTCACCTAATCTTCAAATCCCTGAAGTTTGTCCACCTCCCATTCAAAACACCGGGGTTATTGGCTTCGCTTACGATCAAGGGGTAGCAAATCCAGCTTCAGCGTCCTCAGTATCCCCCAGTCGTCCACAATCCAACTCATCTACAGGCAGCACCTTTAATGTTACACCGTCAAGACCAAATGTTCCCCCAACCATCAAACCTATGCGACCAAAATCAAACGTTGATTATCCGAATGAGTCATTTGCACCATCCGCTCCTCCTGAATCCGTTCCCCTTTCTCATAGTGAATCAGGTCATAGTGAATCAGTGAAAGTTATTACAATCACTAGGAAGGATTCAAAAAAATCTGGTATGTTATGTTTCTCCGATCAATACTAATTTCCCTCGAATAAGAAAGTGTAGCTTAATACTGCGTATATAAACTTATGCTCGGTAAATAAGACTATTCATAGGGCCTATACATATCGGAAGTTTTGTGAATGCTGTAGTACTTCGAAGTGAAATGATTTAATCAACTAAAGAAATACATTTTTACAACCTAAAACTAACATGCATATAGGAAGAGGACAGTTTCAATCGGATAAAATGCTTATTATACGTCTTATGTAAGGTTGTTACGTGATGCAATATGTTATGCTTGTCACAATAGATCGGGAAAAATTTTGTTTATTGAGTTTAAATATATCTGGCATTGTGTGATTGATTAGGAAACAGTGTCGATTTTCATGTGATAAAATCCGAAGAAGCAAATACTTTTAACACTGTCATGACAACTCATTCGTTAAATAGTTAAGTACATTAAACCATCATACTAGTACTTACTTACTTACTTATGCCTGTTACCCCTCGTGGAGGAGCAGATGCCGCATACCAACATTCTCCATCCAACCCTGTCCTGGACAATCTCTTGGAGTTCTTTCCAGTTAACATTCATCCTTTTCATATCTGCTTCTATTTCCCGACGTAATGTGTTCTTTGGTCTTCCTCATTTCCTCTTTCCTTCCGGATTCCAAGTTAGGGCTTGCCTCGTGATGCAGTTTGGTGATTTCCCCGATTTATGTCCGATCCACTTCCAACGTCTTTCGTTGTTTTCTCTTTAGCTGGAAGCTGGTTTGTCCTCTCCCAGAGAAGTCTGTTTCTGATGGTATCCGGTCAGTGAATGTTGAGTATATTGCGTAGACAACTATTTATAAATACTTGTACCTTCTTGACGATGGTTGTAGTAGTTCTCCACATTTCAGATCCATACAGTAGGACTGTTTTAACGTTCGTATTGAGGATTGTAACTTTGATATTGGTTGAGAGTTGTTTTGAGTTCCATATGTTCTTCAAATGTAGGAATGCGGTCCTTGGTTTGCCAATCCTCGTCTTTACATTTGCATCAGATCTTATTTCTTCATCAATGATTCTTCCCAGGTAGGTGAATGATTCCACCTCTTCCAGAGTTTCGCCATCAAGTGTGATTGAGTCACTGTTCTCTTTGTTGTGTTTGAGAATCTTGCTTTTTCCTTTGTGTATGTTGAGGCCTATTGATGCAGAAGCTGCTGCTACATTTGCTGTCTTCGTCTGTATTTGCTCATGTGTATGTGATAGGAGGGCTAAGTCATCTGTGAAGTCTAAATCGTTTAATTGGTTCTGAGATGTCCATTGTATTCCGTGCTTCGTCATACGAGTAGTCCCGATTTATTCCTAAGGGATTTGATTAAGATGAGCTGAAAGTAGGGAAATGCTTTCATACGGCTGCATTTTGTTTCGTGGAAGTCTTACTTGCTGCATCAATGTGCCCTGGATGTTTATACAAAATTGACTTGAAAAAAGTGGACACCTATGTTTTAAACTGGACTAATGGACATAAAATATTCACCTAAGGCAGTTAGATAATAATGATGCATATTCGTACACAGCTATTCCAATCATCGTTCATCATATGATCGCATCTTTTAGTGTTGTTTCACAGCCTTGTGAATTGGACCTTTAGGTCAAACGGCCCCCTTTAAAAGCTTTAATAGTGTCACAGCTGTCACAAATAATGATAATTACCGGTGATGAAAATATAAATTATAAACTATTCACCTTGCACACTAATGTTCACAAATTATAAGAACATGTTTATATTACTAGAAATAGATTTTGTTTCACGTTAATTTCTGACACTTTCACCTCCATATAGTTCATGCTTTTTACCTCAATTAGGAAGAATATTCATGCTTTTTTACTTCAACTCGTACAGAAGCTCGTCTTGAGTATTTAAATGGTTCATTTCGGAGTGGTGACATGCAATGTAATGATTCGTTGTTATCATGTGCCTTTTCTTTGATCGCCACTTTTTTGTTCTCTGCGTATATAGATTGTCTTAATCTTGACTGATACATATTTATGTTGTTTATATCTATTTCAACTTCACTTTCATACTTTTATATTTTTACTCATAAACCATATTCATAGATGATGAAGTATTTGGTATTACCGTACTGTTCGTATGGCCAAAGTGAACATGTATTGTCTATAAAGTTGCAATGTTACTGATTCGTTATCAAAATAATTATCAGTATATTTGATTTGAAAAAAATTCCATACTAAATTTCTAAATTTACTGTAATTGATCAGTCTCTTACGGGCATATGTGCATTCTATGCTGATTGCCTCGATATTGCCTTAAGTCACAAGCATTATAGGTAGAGATGGATGGTAGTTAGCAGTAAAATGCAGGACCCGCGTTTCGTCCCGTTTTGGACTTATAAGGAGGCTGCATCTCAAGGCAAGGGCTAACTTGGAATCCTGAATGGAAACGGAAAAAAGGAAGGCCGAAGAACACACTGCTCTGAGAATTGGAAGCAGACATGAAAAGGATGAATAGCAATTAGAAAGAACTGGAAAGGATTGCCCAGGACAAGGTTTGATGTAGAATGCTTGTGGGCGCGCCATGCTGTGCCACGAAAGATAACAGGCGTGAATAAGGAGGTAGCCGCCATTGGCCATATAATCAATGGAAAGATTCAAACAAACAATACTAAGTGAATTTAAACTTCACCTCATTGCACAAGCTAGTGGCTATCTGAACTCGATGACAAATCTGTTTGGGAGTCTGTAAACAGTAGTGATAGTTTGTTTCTATTCTTCATGTTGTAATAATTTGCCGTAGGCATTCTGATCATATACATAGATAGCTTATTCTTTGTCTATTTCATAAAACAATTTTAGAAAAATGTAAAGCATAAGAATTCTCGATTGTTATCTTCATCGCTTATTTTTCCTCACTACTCTTCTTATTTCTAGGCACAACATCTACAACTACAACTACTAATACTAATCAACATAATCAACGACGTGACAGTTATCAAGATTCACTAAAAGATATGGCTGCTCTTATGACTGATGTAGAATTAACAGATGATATGATCAATGGTATGCGTAAACGTTTCGATTTAAAGAACTGATGACACTAAACTATTCTTCAATCAATAGTTCGGTTCATATTCCTATCAAATGACTTGAAAAAACAAAATTCTCCTATTGAAAGTGTAGATTACTTTCTGTTTATAAAACAATCATCATTTATTTTGCTTCATTTTTTGTTTTACAATGCTTTCACATCAATGAATGTCCATGATAATCCATGATAAAGTTGCTTTTCCCCCCTCCCCATCGATTAACTTTGTTTATTTATTTATTTTGTTATTGTTTACTTTGATTATTGATTGTTTATCCTTAATTTGCCAATAGATAAATCAAGTATTTTTTTTGCCTGTAAAACAAATAGACTGGCGTTTCAACTTGATTTCCAACTTTCTCCTGTCTTGTCTGTTTCTGTGTTTTCGATATTTTTGAGAAGGAAGGGGAGGCCTATATATACTGTTGATGTGTTTCAGACTCAAGTTTGTTTGTTTCAGAAAGTGTATAAATATGATTGTTATTATTTATCTTTTTTTTGAACATAGTTTGCATTAGAGTGCAGGGCATAAACTTTCGACTATTAGCATATCACCCGCCCTGGTACGACCGAGAGTGGGGTGAGTCCGCTCTCCTTCTCGAAATGCTCTCACATGGCCACGCGAATATATAGCCTCTGACAGGGAAGTCCTACTCAATGCCTTCTCGTGGCACTACTGTTGACTACGATATTGAGAGGACGAAAAGCGTATGTCCGGCACTTTAACCGGGTTGATGGATACAGTGCGTCCATCTAGGGGAGTTGGAAAACCCTCATTCCAAACCATTGATGCACATGGGCTGGCTCCAGTATCCTGAGGGAACAAATGGCGTATGAATCAATCGTTGGTCACCGGCTACCATGGGACTGCATCTTCTCACTATGCTCCACTACCTTGTGGATTAGATCTTTGGGTCAAAGGTTCCGGGTGTGGTCCCCTAAGGAAACCACCTGTTTCTGTCTGAGCACCAGTGCAGTATCACAGCCCTCACACAAATCAAATAAGATTTGTGTGGCGCATATATATCTGGTGCCCGTTTGTACCAATATTTATGTGTTTAAATAAATAAGTAAATAAAAAGCAAAGCACTTGTGTTCATCTGATCTAAGGTTCTAACTAGGGTATATCATCAAATTTATGCTTATTTGTAAGTAACTATTAGTTTACTCAAATTTGATTGATTAAAGGTAAAAGAGAGACATATACACACAGAATTAAACTATTAATCTAGAAAAGAATCAACAAATGCAATGCTGTAATCGACTGAAGGAGAATTAAACATAATCCTGTGGTGTGACGAAGAAATGTTTATGTTACTAACACAGTAAGATTAACTAATATCACCTTTTAAACACAAATCAAGTTTCTGTTGCCTCATATCAATGACTTCAGCAGAGTGGAGTTTCGCTGTTTCCTTATTACCTCGATAAATTTATGGGTATCGGCTTGATGTCTTATGTCTAAGAGATGTCTAGAGATTGGGAATTGAAAGCAGATATGAGGAGGATGAGTAGCAACTTGAAAGAACTGGAAGGGATTGACGAGGACAGATTTGGATGGAGGTTTATGCTCCTCCATGAAGGTTAACAGGCATAAGTAATTAAGTAAGATTATACTGACAATTTTTTGTTACATACCATAATTAATGAAGTTTTGTTTGAATGGATTTAAGAAACAAGAGGAAACAACATATGTGATATAATAGTTAAGATTAATTAGTATTCCATATGTTAGAGATTAAGTAATTTAAATGTTATCAATGATAATAAGGAGACAATGAATAGAAACATCGGTGTCATGCTGGTTGCCTGAAGAAAACACCTTACTGCTGTCACACTTCTGTACAGCCAGCAGTATGACTTCAACTTCGGGCCTTCGGTTTGTTGCTTACCGCTCTTCAACCGACCTATCTGGCATGGTAAAACCTTGAGGAACGATTGTTTCAACTAGTATAGCTGGTTCGTCACGATAGACAATCCCGACCACCACATCAAGGTAGCAACAACGGTCAGGTATGGAATAATTGCTTTAATACTAATGAATAGAGAATTAATTTGTCTCTTAATTAACTGTCTGTCTATGAGAGGAAACATTTGTAATTACATTTACACTATCCTTATGATATGAATACAATGCTGTGCAATACCTTAATTAAGAAAAACTTCTATAAACACTTAAATACACTCATTTATACATCTTTAAGTAAACATTTTTTTAGATTACAGCTAAATTAGTTGAGATAACTCATCCGATTGAGGGAGACAATTGACTTCTATGTACTTTGAAAAAATATTGTTATTATGTTGTGTGTGCTACTGATATCAACAGATATAAGTAGTATGTATCATCAATCAAAAGTGAAATGCTTAGCGGCAGAAGGTTAAGGAATGATTGGTACGGAAACCAAGGAACAATCAAGTCTGAGACAATTGACTAACATTTTACAAATGAATTATTTACTATATGATTCTCAGATTTTACTGAGAGATTCTATAATTTTGTATTCACATATATTCGATTGTCCCCTACTTATGTTCCAGTTGACTTGTCTTCCACGTGCTTGTCAGCCAATAAGGTGATAGAATAGTTTTATTCTCTTTACCCCAAGCAGTTGATCTCCCTTTCGAACTCACGTATACTAGCCTCAAAGTTAAGCCAGTTAGTCTATTGCGTCAAAGTCTTGATGTACAATAGACAAGTTATCCTCGGCACCAAAGTGGGTAGACAGATCAAGGACGTAACAGTGTTTTAAAACTTTAACTCCATCTATGGATATAGACTATCGGATATTCAAAAACAAAACAAAAAAAATCTATGTTCAATTTCATTTATGTATCTGTTATTTACATATAATTTTATACTTGAAATCATGAATCAATTGAAGCTGGGTTCGAATCTCGCGAGTTTATTCATTTAAACACATAAATATTGGTACAAACGGGCACCAGATATATATGCGCCACACAAATCTTATTTGATTTGTGTGAGGGCTGTGATACTGCACTGGTGCTCAGACAGAAACAGGTGGTTTCCTTAGGGGACCACACCCGGAACCTTTGACCCAAAGATCTAATCCACAAGGTAGTGGAGCATAGTGAGAAGATGCAGTCCCATGGTAGCCGGTGACCAACGATTGATTCATACGCCATTTGTTCCCTCAGGATACTGGAGCCAGCCCATGTGCATCAATGGTTTGGAATGAGGGTTTTCCAACTCCCCTAGATGGACGCACTGTATCCATCAACCCGGTTAAAGTGCCGGACATACGCTTTTCGTCCTCTCAATATCGTAGTCAACAGTAGTGCCACGAGAAGGCATTGAGTAGGACTTCCCTGTCAGAGGCTATATATTCGCGTGGCCATGTGAGAGCATTTCGAGAAGGAGAGCGGACTCACCCCACTCTCGGCCGTACCAGGGCATTTGGGGGCGAGGTCGTGGATGCCCACTGCTGAGGGGACCCACAATAGGACGAAACGGCCGTCCAGCTCTTTCAGGTTTTCCATGGTGGTCTAGCTTCAGTTGACTCACGCTTTCAACTGTGAAGCTAGACCACCATGGAAAACCTGGAAGCATTGGACGGCCGTTTCGTCCTATTGTGTGACGATATAACATTAGCTAAACCTATTAAATAAAATAATGATACGGAATAGAAGTCCATTAAAATTCATAAACTAATACGATGACCATTTTATATTGAGACTTATTACTTTGTAGTTGGCGTCCAGGAACGATTGAGTATGATCATCACTACAGGAAGATTATGTGCCAGATATTAGGTTGGATCCCTCCGTAAGCCAAAGACCAGAAGGCAGTTGACGGTTTTAATAAAATATATTTGTTGACGATCTCGTGGTATCGAAGGAATACTGAGACCGTGCCAAAGTTCACAAGTGGAACTACTGAGCGTACGCGAGTTCGTGCAAGGTCACAGACAACAGAAAATGCGTCTTTTTTGTATACTTAAACAAACAAGTACAGTAAAACAATCACTGGTACAATTGGTTGTAATAATAATTATTTCCATTATACTAATCACGTTCTCGTCATAAAATTGGGTCACTACAACTTAATACTGTTATATCGAGTGTTTCTTCAATTGTTTATTATCTTGCACCCACCTACTAGAGAGCAGTAATTTATCGGTCGGAACAGTGATACGCAAAACACGTACGAGCAGTCTAGAGAACTTGTCGGTCTTGCTATCTGCCTAGCCCCAGTCAGTTACGTCTACAACACCAATAACAGCCTCTGCAATATGAATCATTATTTTCAAAAATAACGGGTTTATATACCAATCAGACAGACCATATTGTACCATAAAATAGGGAACAACATTTGTACAAGATTTAGCTAAATGTGGCTGTGAATAAGGGAGATGGTAATCGGTAGACAGGGCAGAGGAAGAAAAGCGAATGTCCGGCGACTTAACCGGGTTAGTGGACACGGAAGGTTCACCTAGGGGAGTTGGAATACCCTGATTTCAAACCAATGGTGCACATAGGTTCTGTGGTGTGGTCTACTTATATCTATATAAGTAATATATGGTGTGGGTCAGACATAGAATGTATTTGGGCAGAAGACCGATGAGCAAAGAACTGAAATGAAACGCAAACGTCTGGAAAATGCATGAGCAATGGAATAAGAAAAGAAACAGTGAAGATTGAAATAATTGGCTGTTAATTTGCAAATTGACTGTTCATTGTTTGGTAATCAGAATTTATTGAGATAGTCTGTAATTTTTGCTTAAATACATTCGATTGTCCCCAACTAGTGTTCTGTTCACTACAGTTCCAGTATCCTGAGGGAACAAAAAGTGGATGAACCAAATATTGGTCACTAGCTACCATGAGACTGCTTCTCCTCACAATGCTCCACTGTCTTGTGAATCAGGCTTTTAGATCAAAGGCTCCGAGTGTGGCTCCCTAAGAAAATCACCTGCTTCAGTATGGGCACCCGGGAAGTATCACAGCCTTCACACAAATTTGTGTAGTGCATATATATCTGGTACCTCTTTGTACCAATATTTATTTGTTTGAATAAAATAAGATAATAATAGAAGGAGTGTTATATATAGTATTAACTATGTTCATAAGTTATAATTAGTAGTATTATATCATATGATCATTATATTAACAATATATAGTCTTAAGTTTAAAAAGTTAAATATGTTGCTAGGTGAAGCTTTTCTTTTTTGTTGTTGTCGTTGTCGTTACCTGAATTGTAAAGAACTCATCGTGTTTTTTTTTTCAGCGCTTACTTCAATTAGAAACTAAAGTGATTATGATAAATTTTATTGATTAAGAAACCAAAAACTATATAACCTTCATCATTGACTTATAGTAATTATCTACTAAAGATATCGGATGACATTTTAGAATATATAGTTAGTTGGCTGTAATTATGTAACAGTAACCTTTGTATCCTTAGTTACTTTTGTTTTATGGAATGTTAATGACAATAACTACTACAAAAAAGAAGCTACATTCC